ACAAGCGACATGGAAACAAACAGCGCGAGAAGGGGTCCGAACGCCTATCAGTAATCAGGGGTCCCCTGGTTGACAAATTATGTCTTTTCACCACCCGTCAGCAGCTGGAAATATGGGGTGAAAAGGTAACCCCTGCACTGGAACGAAAGGAAACGCATAGAGCAAGTTTTTCGTTTTGACCCATGCGCTCGATGAAGGTTTCATTTTGGGCGGGTGTTTCTATCAGGCGTTTGTGATGGATGCAAGGAGGGTGCCGTTTTTGCGCATTGTTTTATATGTAAAGATCCCAAAAAGGAATTGGGGGGAATGCCGACCCTGCACCCACTGACTTTCACGGCTGATTGGCTTGATGCCGCACACAGCACTCTCGGGACTGGCCATGATCATGCCACAGTCCCAGGTTCCTGGAAACGTTATCGGTTTGTCGCTTTTTGTTTAACTATTTGATTGTGGCGTAGAGGGTCAGGCTGTCCTGTTCAAGAGTGGTATGCTTTGCAGAGCGAGGCCAAAGCTACTGCTGGGGTCGCCGAGCAGTGAGCTTGTTTGTCACGGGAGGTCCACGTAATTTGTTTCGGGCGCCCTGCCATTAGAAACCATGGAACTTCAGAGTTTGAAGCGGATTAGAGCAGATGACTTATCTGGGTGTCTGCAGGGGTGGCGACAAGTTCCGTGAGTTGAAGTCTGAGGTCACGGGCCACAAGCTAAACATGGGAACGGGTCAAAATCAAACCACCAAGATATGGACCGCACGGTTTATTCAATGTACCCAGTTCCAGTGGGTTCCAGTTTGGGTGGCTAGTTTCGACCCGCAAGATTAAAAATTGCATTTTGAGTTGGTGGCCATAGCCGAGGTAGGTTGGAGTGATGCCAGAAACTTCTGTCAGGACAGTCCCGCCAAGCTGAGCCCTGCTGGAACCCGGCGCATTAGTCTGGGCAGCAATGGGTTGCAGGCATGGGCTCATGGCAAATCAAAGCGCGACTGGTTTGCAACCGAAGTCTCCGTGGCGCGTTCTTTCTTTGGGGTGCGATATTGCAATTCACCCAGATTGGTTGAACAGGTGAGGCCTGTTAAATGTACCCCTCCTTCCCCCAATGTACCGAATCCAAATCTTATTCATGTTTGTTGGGTGGTGCCTCCCTTTGTGTTTGGTGGGTATCTTCCATTATAATTGTCATTGTTCTTTTCACAGACCTTAGTGAGCAACGTTCAAGACTCTGAGTAGATAAAAGTCATAGCGGACACTCCGGTTTGCTTAAGTAGTTGTAGCGACGGCTTTTGTGCCATCAAGTGTGTGCAGACTTGATAAAAGCAAGACAGCGTGGTGACTGCGGCATTTGATCGACCCGAGACGCATCAACGTTGGCTATTCCGAGAATTTAACAATCAAAAAGAGGGAATTGACGAAATGAAAGTCGACCTGGCATGGACAATGTGTTTGTATCTCCAGTATGGGATTGCGAATCTAGTGCTCCTGTTTCTTGCGTTTGTAAAGCAAAAACCGCCGTGGTGTTGGGCCATGATTGCACGTAGGCAACCAATCAGGCGTGTCTCAAGTCGGTGTCCACCACAGTCCCGCCTCATGCGAAACAGGACTTCCCGTGAGTTGCACACCAAGAAACTGTGTCTCTTCAGCCTTGAAATTGGTTCCCGTGGATGTAATCAGTCCCCCATGTAAATGATGTACGAAGTATGAATTAGAACTCATACCTAGATCGCCAACCTGCTTCTATTTTCCATCCTCTCCCCCACAAAACCACTTACTGGTGTTGGTTGGAAGCAACAGACAGCTGGGCAGCGCCAAAAACCCTTACGGAAGGAGTGAATTGAGGGCCTCTGCTAACGAAGCCTCGCAAAAGCTAAAACGCAGGGCGCGAAAGCCGGCGAAAGCTTGCGGCGAAAGTGGTTCAAGAAGAGCCCGCCGCGAAAGCGTCGCGAAAGTGCATGTTTGCAGTTTCTGTGTTGCCCGCAAAAGCTCCGCGAAAGTGATCATTGCAAAACACATGCCCGCGAAAGTGAAACGTGTGGCCGCGAAAGCATCGGGAAAGGTTGCGCGAAAGCGGTTTGTTAGTAGAGGGTTTTATGTACCCTATTTTCGGCACCTCTCAGCTGGCGTTCCAGGTACCTTTGCCTCTTTCATGCATGTGGATGTTTTTCAAAACAGACCTCTCAAAATGATGTGTTGCCTCGTTTGCCTTGCACACATTGGAGAGCGTTTAAGATGGTGCTCTTCCCTCTGTTGAATCCACAAAAGGAGTACCCTTAACAAAACTCGTGCCTATTTGGCTGTGGTTTCTGTTTGTTTGTTGGTACCTCATGTTTGGTGGTTTTCCCTAGGGAAGCCACCACAAAAACTGTTTCGCTTTTTCGTTTGCTTTTTTAGTTGGTCCCCATTTGGTTTGCAGGGAACCCGAAAGGATAGATGATAACCGGTGCGCCATTTCGTGTTTTTTCTCTCTCTTCTTAGTTGGTCCCCATTTTTAGGTAGGTTTGAAGTAGCCAGAACCGGAAGGACAGTCACCTGCAGCAATTTGTTGGGGGGTCCGATTCCAAAACGGAGACGCGGCCACCCCTCTGGACGCGCCCCGCCGCATGGGCAGGCGGCGGCCCAGGCGGTGAGCGACGCCATCAGCGGGGTGGCCAGCTCTTTGGCCTCGGCCTTCGGGAGCATGTCCAAGGAGAGCAACAACAAGGCCGGCCGACTCACTCCCCGAGTAGTTTTTTTCGGGCTTTGGAGGAAAAAAGATCGGGGGGGGGGGTTTGGGGAATTGACTCCCTGAGTTCGTGGACTTTGAAAACTTTTGGGATTTGGACCATTTTAGGGCCACACAACAAGGTTTGCGCGTTTTTTGGCCAGCCCAACCCCAACCAGCCCACCCGCTGTGGAGCCGTCCCCAGAAAGACTTTGCGGTTTTTCGTTGGTCCCATGAAGCAAAGGCTGAATGTATAATGGCCGTTTTGGACGCTTTGGGGTCTGATTTCCCATATTTAGGCCAACCCGGTTCAGCCAGTTTTAAACCCCATTTAACTTAAATACATCCTCCCTCCCACGTTGCCATGGCACCTGAAGTTGATCTTCCAGGTACCCTTCAGGTGCCATGTTAGGGTGCCATCACGAAAACCCAAATCCCAGGCAAGCCTCGGGTAGCCTATTTCTTTTGAAAGACAGTATGGTTGTTTGGGTGAATCACTTACTTGAAAATCGGGTTTTTAATGGATCCGAACCAAGCATCAGAGTTTGGGATCCAAACCGCTTCATGGGCCTGCTGAAGCAATCCCTGGGATGCTAGGAATAATGATTGTAAGGCTCAGGTATGGGTGTGGTTCCTTTTTTTAGCTGGTACCCTTTTTTTTTGTGCGTAGGTGCAAAACGGAAACCACAGGAAAACCACAATTTTGGGGAGTCCCCGTTTAAAAACAAAAAAAGAGAGAAACACCGGAAAACAACGCATTTGTTTGTAGCGTACACTTTCAGACTGGTATGACCATATCTTTCTTTCATTTTTTACATGTTTTGCGGGGCTTGCCGGGTCCAAAAGTGTCCATACAACTGAGCTGGGCAAAGATCGTCTTCAATGATGTAGGTGTGTCCCAAGCACCGAGTTTGGCTTCTGGTTCTTGAGCTCTTGGTTATCCCGGGAGGATTGGATTGTCAACTGGGCAGGCAGATGTAGAATGTACACTCTTGCCGGCTTGTCAACATGTTGTAGTTCCCTTTTGGCGGCTAGCAGCACCTTTTTGGGTCCCTCATGGACACCGAGAAGATATCAATTTTTCCGCGGCGAGTGCCCGGAAGGTGACGAAGCGGATGTCGGTGAAGGAGGCGGCCTCAGTGATGAAGTCCATGGACGTCAAGGCGCCAGAAGTTAGATCCAGTTGGCCTTGACTGCTGGGTTGGATCTTTAGACTTTCACCTTTTGGGAAATGCAGGGGTTTTCCACCGGCAGCGTCACCAGTTTTAACATGCCGCTGTTTGAGCAACCAAACCCAGCTGTTTGGAGAAGCTCCCGGAGATAGTCCGCAGTTGTGTTGTATGTTTGGTTCCCTAAATTTTAGTGGGTTGTTTCAATTCAACCCTGCCAGGATTGAGACATCCTGGGTTCTCAAAATCAGGGTCCAGGTTAGTTTCCTTTTGTCCATCCAAACCGGGGACCCCGAGTTTGAGAAGCACTCGTGGATTTTTCCAGTGTTCCCTTGGTTCATGGATGCCTTGATTCAGCTAGCCTTGATACCGAAGGATATGGTGTTTCCAGTGTTGTAGTGGTGTCTTACTGGGGATTGCGGCTTAGGATGAGGGATCCACCCCCCATTTTGAACAACCAACCCAGGTGTTCAAGCAAAGCAACAGGAATTTATAGAGCAGTTCTTGCTTGCAACCTTTGCGGCCATCGCCATCGCTTCCGACAGCAACGCTACTGACAGGCCTTAAAAACGGAAAACGAGTTCAAGTGTCAGTGGAATTAAGTCCACTGAGTTTCAGAAGATATGACAAACCGGTCACTTACCTCTTTTGTTCGAAGCATGTGCTTCATATTTTTGTCAATCAGGGGCCCCAAGAAAGGCCCCATTCTGGACCTGACATACCGCTACTGACGAATTGCCTGGAGATGGAAGTGCTGCTTGTGTTGTTAGGTTTGGCCGTGCTTCGTGTAATTCTGTGTTGTTTTGCGGTGTGTGTTTGCTGACTTGCTGATTTGGCGTTTTGCTATTCTGCTGGTCGGTTGGCTTGCAGGTTGGTTGGCTGGTGGTTTTGCTTGCTTCTTGCTTGCTTCTTGCTTGTTGCTTGGTTGGTTGCTTGGTTGCTTGCTTGGTTTGTTACTTGGTTGGCTGGCTGGTTGGCTGGCTGGTTGGTTGGCTGGCTGGTTGGTTGGTTGGTCGACGGTCGGTTGATATGTTGGTTGCCTTGCTTTGCTTGGCTTGGCTTGGCCTGGCTTGGCTGGCTTGCTTGCTATTTCATGTATGTGTTCTTGTGTGTTTGGTTGCTTGCCTGTGTTTTTGCTTGTGTTTGATTGTTTTGTTTTTGCGCACAATGAAGCACCAGCCGGGCGCGGAGGGCTCCAGAGCCCTTTCGAGCCGCGGTGTTGTGAGGCTACATGTGCTTGTTTGTTGCCAAGGGCCACAAGAGTAAACCATTCATTTGGGGTTCCCCGAATAACACGGGCAATCCCCCTTTTTAGTCTAAGCATGTCCACCTGCAGGGTCCCAACATTCCGTACCCACATGGCTCAAACAAAACGTAAACTGCAAATTAACTGGAGACCAAAATTTCAGCAGCTAACACATTCTCCATAGGTAAATGTTTAAAGGTAGACGGAAACCTGCGGTTTGCCCTGGCCCTTTCCTTTTCAGCTGCATCCTTCGGTGCTTCGGAGTCGCTTCAGGTCACGAAGGCCCACGTGCTGACGGAAGCCAAGCGCAAGGGCCTCTGGCGCTGCATGTACGCGGCCATCTTCACGGGCGCGCTGGCGGGAGTTGGCGCCGCCTTTTTGGCGCAGGACGGGACGAGGAACATGTCCAATTGAAATTGGGCAATTAGTTTAGGGCTCTTTAAAAGATGCATTTTGCAACCATTTGAAACATGGTTTTCAACACCAAAATATAGGGAAACCACCATTCACAAGGCAATGTTCAGGTGTATAATGTAAGGATTCCTGTAATTCTTGAAATGGCTGGGTTTCCGAATGTGTTTCCCTTCAAAACACACCAAAGGGTACACCCGTTTCCGTTAAAACCTCACTTTTGGGGAGCCCAGGTAAACCATTGGCTCAAACCACCAAAGCGTTTAAGCGATCTCCTTTGGGCTTTGAAGGCAACGGGGGTTCGGGTTGAATACATGTTGCGACCCTGGCGCAGATGCTCAATGAGTTCACAACGACCATCGTGGATGAGGAGGAGGACTACTTGCTTCTGAACGAGTTTTGAGCTAGTACCCGCATGGATGTGGACATGGGGCCTGTTCAACAAATATGTAATGGTCCAAACCCCTCCTGCCCGCTATCATGTTTGTTGGAAAGAGGAGAAGCTGTGTTCTTCGCCTTTCTTGGCCTGGCTGTTAGGATCGATTAAACTTGGTGACAATGGCGATCAGCCACTGTCATCGCCTCTGGTTTCCTTTTTTTTTCTGAGCGACTTGATGTATCGTCACTGTCCCAGACCTCTGTTGCCCTTGTTCCCTTGGCAGGGGGTTAAGAAAAGGCGCCATCTGTTTTGCCTTTGGAAACCCACTGGAGGCAACATGCAACTCAGGCTTTGGAACACACTGGCGGGCAGCTTTTCGCTTTTGTGGTCCCTTGCAGAGATGCTGGTTTGCTGCATTGCAGCGCTGATGGCCACAGTGAAGATGACCCGCGACTCGGTGAATGTGACATCAACGCGCTGGTGTAAGCTGGTGGCGTAAGAAAAAAAAACACACCTGTGTCGCGTAAGCAAACCTCCCCCGCGCAAGGTGGCGCAATCAAAATGATCTAATTATAGCAAATCATGACACGTTCAACGGAGTTCAACGAACAAGATCAACTGTTGTAATTGTTTTTCTCCACTGGGCTACTGGGTGAAAAGGTGTTCACTGAGACTCTCCAGCGCAGATCCGTGCTGAGGCATTTGCGGCATCATGCTGGTGCCCATGGACAAGGAGCCACGAACAGGCAATGGTTTTGCCCTCTCATTTCCCGGCTGAAAAATTATGGGCATGGTTGGGCTTTCACAGGTGAACATCGGGACCCGTATTTTGGTGGCCAGGGGGCTGGCGATGCGGCGATGATGCCTAGGTTCCAAGAGTTTGTAGTGGCGCAACTGGCGGTTGCCTGAAGCTTACCAAGCCACTTGGCAGAGTCCCGGGCCATCCAAGCACCATGTACCCCGATGGGCCATGGAGTCTGGGGAGAGATTGAGAAGAGGCTTGTAAGGGGTGCCTGGGTGTTTGGATACCTAAAGCCGCAAAAAAAAAGAGCAGCATGCAAACCAGCATCTCACATTTTTTCAATCTCATGTTGGCAATAGGATACTTTGTTGAACTAATGTCCCTGTTTCGAGATGAAGCCAAGTGCGGCCAGTTTGGTCTCTTTTAAATGATTAACGCAAGGACGCCTAAACAAATCGTTTAACAAGAATTAACATATTTTGCCGCACATCCCTCTAACATGGCACTTGGAGAAATGGTGCCTTGAGAAAGCTTATCTTTTCAGCCAGGCTCAGGCGTTAGTAAATGGGAGCTGTTGGTGAATCATTGCATGTGTTTCTCCCCCATGTTTTGCCCTTTCCTGTTTTTGCCCCTTTTCCCAAGCAAACTGACCAGTGAATGGACGAACTCCTGCACCACTTTGAAACCATGGTTGAAATCATTGCTTGTTATCAGAGGAATCGAATCATTCCAGGATTTCTGAACAGTGGATGTTGCAACCATCCACAGTGTGTGCGTGTGTGTGTGTGTGTGTGTATGTTTTTTTAAGACCCAACCCCCCCCCCCCCCAAAAAAAACAAACTTCATGATAAGACAAACAAATGCTTTTCTTCCCCGCCGTGTTCTTCCCACAGCTTTCGGGGGGCACCTTTGGCTTGGTTTTGCCAGGAGCGCGCCATGTTGGCGGGCAGCCTGGCGCGGTCCGCGCTGGAGCTGGGGCATCCGAAGGTGGCTTAGAGACGGTCGAAATCAACAGAGATTTGGGGCAAAAAGAGGCCCTTTCGTGAGATGCCTTTTTTTCCCCCCTTTCAAAGGATATTTCATTCATTGTTTGCGAGGTGCTGGGGGAATTTGAAAGGATATCGAAGGCGTGGTTAGCAGGGAGCCGCATCATGGAAGTCGTGGGCTTCTTTTAGCCCCATGTGGGTGTGGGTCAAACATAGGTACCCGAAATGGAACCCTGGCAAATGGAAACAAGGACTGGGAAACACCGGGGGGGGGGGGGGTGGAAGTTTGGGTAAGGAGACTTGAAGAGTTGCAAGCTATTTGGCGAGCTTACCAGTGTGTGGAAAGCAAGCTGTAGGCAGTCTCCGTGACACCAACATCCCGCTAAGTCTCAGGCAGTCCGATTTCGGAATCGCAACAAAGGTGATCGTCCACAACCTTATTGAGACTAGTTGGGGTTGCTTCAAGCGGACACCAAACAGAAACCTGCGTTTCCCACTTGGGGGGCCCAGTCCCAGTTATGTCACCAAAATAGCCCTGTCAACGGCGCCATCCAGGTCCCTAGACTTCACTCAAAGTGTCGGGACTGGGTGCTTTGTTTTGCGGATTGAGCGGGAAACCAAGATAAAGCCGAGCATCGTTCAGCGGCCGGTTTTTTCCCCCCCACGAGAATCCCCGTTTTGCGCACATCCATCAAGTGCCAGGCTTTGAATACGACTTCCAGTTTTGGCTGGTTGAACAAAACACCTAGCCGTGGATCAAAAACAAGCCATTAGGGGACAGCAGGTTTTAGACCTTGTTTCCATTTGCCAGCGCAACCCATGTTAGGTAACTACTTACTTTTACACAGCCATATGATGTTGTACGTGTTTTTGTAGGCATGTCTGATACAGGGAATATTGTGCGTTCCAAAAATATGCGGGGGGCGGGGGACATTGTTCCTGAACTCCGTTGCCAGGTGCGCACCTTTGGCATCGACCCCTATAAGCGCGCCAACCGCTGCCTCCTCATCTTCTACGAAGTCCGGCAGCATTTGGCCCGTCGGCCCGTGGGTCTTCGTTCCTTACAGTTGTGTAGGTTTTTGGGAAGACCGTTTTGGTAGGAAATAGACAGTTCGGAGTGTTTTTGGCCAATCCACTGGGGAAGTGAGATGGGCTAACTTGACTAATTCGTTTGCAGGTGGCTGATCCCAGAAGTACCTGATCAAGGTGCCCCTTTTTTGTTGGGCAGTTTGTGGGAGAAACCAGTGAAGAACTGGATTCTGCTCTCTGAAATTTGGTGGGTGAAACGTTGGCTTTGGCTGCTTGGAGTCGCGTTGTGTGTCAAGAGCACGGGCAACCCGCGGCCCGAGATCTGGTGGTGAACGCTCTTTTTTAACCGGACGGCCTCAGATGTTACGTTTGCTCCGATTAGCTGTCCGCCCATGTATTTGCTTTGACTGCTTTGTTTGTTTGTTTGGATTGACTGATTGCTTGGTTGCTTGCTGGCTTGCTCGCTTTGCGTTGCCGTGCATTGCGTTGCGTTGCGTTGCATTGCTTGCTTGGCTTGCTTGATTGCTTGATTGCTTGCTTGCTTGCTTGCTTGCTTGCTTGCCTGGCTTGCTTGGCTTTGCCTTGCCTTGTGTTGCCCTTATCTAGAATCTAGATGCCTGGTTATTTGCTTGGCTTGCTGTGCTTTCCTTTGCTTGCTTTGCTTTCCTTTGCTTGCTTTGCGGGTGCTTGTTTGTTTGCCTGCCTGAATGCGTGTTTGCTTTGTTTGCTTTGTTTGCTTTGTTTGCTTTGATTGTTTTGATTTGCTTTGCTTTCCTTGGCTTGCTTGGCTTGGCTTGCCTTTGCTTTGTTTGCTTTGCCTTGTCTTGCTCGCCTTTGCTTTTCCATATTTGGGTTGGCTTTGCCTTTCTGGGCTTGCTTCTGAGGCCTTGATCTACATGGGCAGCCGGGGCGTGACCAAGTTCCTGATCAAGCTCATCATCAAGAAGGCCGCGCCCAGGACGTTTCTCAAGGTGGCGGAGGTAGCGCCCCTCGCCATCGAGGCGCGCGCTTCGTTTAGAGCTGCAGAAAGCTTGCTGCCCTTGTTTCTTGGTGCTTCCGGTCATCCCTTAGGTTTTTAGGTTGGGGGTTGTTGGGGTCTCCATTTAACCTACTGTTCTAAAAGTTAAGCTCTTAGCAGGGATCTGAGGACAGCCCCTTGGTTTATCACTTTGCTTAGTCTCAGGGGCTCAGAGCGTGCTTGGTCCTTCGACGTTGTGGATAAAGTGTCCCTTTTTCATTAACGAGCATCTTAAACGGGAAGAATTCTGGGCCACCCGGAAACGCGGAAACGGGATCCTCTGGCCCAAAAGGGGTTGAGCTCATTTTGTCAGCTTGGGCCCATGTTGGTTTCTATCGAATATATCCAGGTGAATCAAGGAAAGGAATTGCAGGGATACATTAAATCTTTCTGTCATAGAGAGACCCGTTTTTTGGGGTCGCCGAGATAACTTATTGTTCATCCCGCAACGGCCCCCGCACCCATATCTCTTCAGGTATCCCCTTAATTGGTGGTTTGGTTCATTGGTTGGGGATTTGAACCCCAGTGTTTTTTGAACCAAATGGGGAAGGTAGCCCCTAACCCCCGAACCACCAAACCAAACCACCAAGTCTAGCCTGATAGCCTGATGGAGTTGCAGGTGGTCATCAACGTGCTCTTCAACATCGTGACGGTAAGATACGCCATGAATCCTTGCCAGACTTAGTTTGGTTTGTTTGCATGTTTCTCAGGGTTGCATTGAGCTAACAAATGATCAGTTGAGCGGGTCGAACAGTCGAACATTCGCCAATTGACACGAGCCAATGGCGTCAATTGCCAGAGTGTGTGTGTGTGTGTTTTTTCTTGTCTGGCTTCCCTTTCAGGGTCATACCTTAAGCTGCCAGAGTTTTGGAGCCACCCCATTCCGACCGGCGGTTGGTTTTCTAGCCAAACGGTTTTTTACCAGTCTTCGATCGCGGGGTGCGGTCGAGCCTCATCTTTCATCCCGGCAGACGGGTTCCAGTTTGTGGTTTCTAGGTTTACATTGTTTACATTGCAAATCCGCCAAGGAGAATGGGCAAGTCCTTCTTTGCAAAATGGAATGAATAATACGCCGACATCTAAAGGTTATGAGGTACACACGCCGAATTGCGAGAGGATGACGATCTGTTCAGCACATACGAGCCTCTATCAATGTTGTGGCTGCTTGGACGTTCGGCCAGCAGGCGAGCTTGCTGGGTTACAACCTCGGTACCTGACGGCTTGGCCGAACACCCAAGTGTTGCCTTTACCAAGTTCTGAAATTGGAGCATTTATGTTTCCATGAGCCTCCAGTTTGGCTTTCCTGTTAAACAGCCACCGGGCCCCCTTTCCAGTTTGCACCACCACAAGACGTCCTTTGTTGAGATTACCCTTTTGGGGTTCCTTTAACAAATCCATTTGCCCTTGGGAAACTCCCAATATTGAGCAGTTTGTTATTGTGTGTAGGAAAGCCACACACCACACATACACATTCAGAAGAGAGAATTGGACCCACCTCCACCATTCCAAAAGGTTCTCAGAGCCCGTCTAGGATGGTTCTGAGACAAGCATGGATTTATTCTGTGCCATGGAAAGAATCTTTAAAAAATGTTGGTAATTCCTGTACAGTTACATTTTTTTCACGGGGCCAGATGTTTGAAGTTTGTTTGTCCTACGCGTAAGGAGGCCAGTCCTTCTGAGGCATGTGCTTCACCACGTACTGCTGGGCTTACGGTTGATACCTATTCCTCAACTACTGCCTACATTATGGGCCCCAAATAAAATTGGCAAGGATATATATATATATATACATTTATTATTATTATTATTATTATTATTATTATTATTATTATTATTATTATTATTATTATTATTATTATTATTATTATTATATATTATATATTATATAATATAATATAATTGTATATTATATTATATTATATTATATTATATTATATTATATTATATTATATTATATTATATTATATTATATTATATTATATTATATTATATTATATTATATTATATTATATTATATTATATATATATCTAGAGATGCAATGTATGGATTATGTATTATATATATATATATGTATGTATGCGTATCTATTTACTGTACACGTGCAGTTATTGTACATTCACAAGTCGCAAGGACAATTATTTGCCCCAATTGGTTGAGCCCACTCATTTGTACTAGGGTCATTTTCCGGTTCCTTCCCTTGGGTCAATCCCCAAAGAGGGGACCCCCCAAAAAAGGAACCTTGCCTTATTGGTCACGCAATTCGCCCCTATTGGGAGGGGATCGCCCCTATCGGACCCTTCACAACCATACTGTGGACGGACGAAATCCTGCACCACTTTGAAACCATGGGAAACCAATTTGTTTGCTGGTATTTACGTTGGGGAATTGAATCATTCCGTTGGGTTTCTGAACGGTGCGAAGCGGATTTCGCAACCATCCACAGCATGAAAGCTATCTCTCCCGCTTTCTCTATATCCCTTTTCTCTTTGTCCTGATAGGAAGGGTCCGAATATGTTGTGACCACACCCCATCGGAATCCCTTTCAAACCAGCCAGAAACGGGTGCTTTCCGAGCCTCTTTCCCATGGAGATCCCCTGGGCCTCAAATCCGCCCTGGTTTCGTTTCGTTTCGTTCGCGAGGAACGAGGTGATGATCTGCTCCCTTGGGCCCTCTGCCACCGTGGAGGCCACCAGTCAGCTCATCAAGGCCCATCGCCCCTCTGGTTCATCCGATCGGTCCGAGCGCGGCAAATCGGCTCGGGTTCGAGGGACAAAGAGACCGGATGGGATCGGAGGATGGGATCGGCGTAGGAAAACCGCTCGTTCATCCAGTTCAGCCAGTGGCTGCTTGCTTGCTCGCGATTGCTTCAACTTGAGGCTCTCGAGCTTGAGCGGAGTTCCGATGTCGGGACCCGAAGCATGAATCATGTTAATGCGTTACATGACTTTCGGTAGACTGGTTTGCGAATGTTGAAGATTGATTCAATCAAATAGCCAAAACGGTTTGCCCCCTTGCTGCTTGGAGAGCGTCACCATGATTTCACAACGGGCAACTTGGAAGATCTCAAAAAGCAGGATGCTTCACGGTTGCTTGCTTTGCTGAGATGAGGGACCCGGCCAATTCAAGAAGTCGTTCTTGCACTGTCAAAGTTTGGGTGGGGGACATCCAGTCGGCACAGCCAGAGGGAGCGCTGGATTCAGCTGATGGAAATCTTCGACCTGCCCCTGGGAATGTGCCCCAGTCATAACTTCCCAATAAATCTCTAGCAAACAGCCTGCGTATGGGACACAAAATGGGCATGCAAGGACATATTCGTGTATGTATATATATATATATGTATAATATGGATATGGTCAATATGGTCACACCGCCCCATGATCTACGTACCTTCACTTTATCTTTGTAGAATTGCTAAACAAATACCAGTGTTCTTGAGGTTGTTTGCTTTCGCATTGTGTTGCATGGTTGGCCGAAGTTCGGCCACGCGGACCACGTGCAAATCCACGGAAACATGTAACAACAACGCTGTGTGTTTGTTTATAGTGTTGGTGGTTCGAAGTTAACGACGCTGTTTCGAGTGCATGTGTTTCCACGTTCTTTACTACTTGGCCCGCAAACTTGCTAAACATGTAGAAAACGACAAGTCAATCACAAACTCAGAGGAGATGTTTCTATTTTGCTACATGTGTTGTTTTTGTTTCCGTGTGTTTTGTTTGTTGTGCTCCCTTAGTTTATTTTAGCTTGTTTTGTTTTACCCCTTCGAACTTGTTTTTAGCTTATCCCTGTGTTGGTCTGGTTTGATACTTTCTTGAATAAACCATTTTGGAGCCACAGTGAAGGGGTGTGACCTTCCTATACTAGATTTGATATATAGCGCGCCGATATCATTCACCCTTCATATGTGAACTTGGTGTTGTTTCTGGCGCGCTACCTTTTCTTTCAGCGGGTTGAGAAAGTCACGACTGGATGGCCTTTGCCATCAGGGTGTTGCATTCAACACTTTGATTGAACATTGTTAGACATTAAATCCATTTGATAAGGGCATACTCGAATTGGATTTTGAGTGTCAAATTCGATTCAACAACTGGCTTTAAAGTCTTGACTCAAGCTGCTAGGAAGCTTCTTTATAGGCTCCTTATAAGCTCCTTATCAAGCTCCTCATAAGGCTCTTTGTAAAGCTGCTTGTACTCCTTGTACAGCTCGTTTTAAGGCTCCTGAATGGACATGCTCCTGAATGTGGCTCCTTGTGCAGTTTTTCTTGTACAACTTGTTATATTATAAGGCTGCTATCAAAGCTCCTTATAAGGCTCCTTATGCCAAATTCGATTCTAAGTCAAGTTTAACAGAATAAGGTAAGAATTCCTCTAGAAATTCTATGTTAAAGGAGATTGAGAGGGGAGTCCTTTTCGCATATGATGTGAACTTAACATTCTTTAGTATAATATGGAACTAATTCTATTCCACTTCTATCTTCAGATTGAATTTGAATACAACATCCATTCCAGGAATAGAACTTAGCAAGGGACAAATTCAACAATTGCTATGTCAATTAGAATGTCTTTGTGAATCGCCTTTGATATGTTTTAAATCAACATGTAATGCAAATTGTGATAGAATTGAAGAAGGCAATACAGACATTTTAATGTCTAGCTGAATTTGGAAGTTAAGCAGGAATTCCTTTCCAAATAAGACTTAACAAAGTTAATTGCAACTTAAGTGGAGTTTGACAAGTGCCCACATAGGGTTTGAGCTTTTTGGCTACACACTATGCCACAGAGGTAGATCACGGGGAGTGGTGAGCATATATATATATATATATATATGCACATGTATAGATATATGTATATATATATATATTGATGATATGAGACGTTTACCCCCCCCGACTCCCCTTAGAAGTAGTTGTTTCCATTGAGATTCCGATCTGAGGAAAATCTCTCACCGTGGAGGAGCCTTTGTCGGATGAGCTGAAACTGCTTACCCTGCGGGCAGTCGGGGTGTCCATCACCTACAAGATGCAGTTTCTTGACTAGGGATTGCTCCGAGTTCCTGAATGATCAACCCCCAGAGGTAGAAGGGCAGTTTGGTGTTCAGATCTCTTTCAAGCAATACGCGCAATGACCCGAAAGCCCTCTAAGCGTTTTGGCTGGCAGGTTCTTGGTCGAGATTTGACGCCAACTTGCTTTTTCCACGGTGCATATTAGTTTTCCGGGGAGCATCCGTGGGTTGCAACTTCATGTTTATGAGTTCGGTGGTGTATTTCCCACTCGTTTTTAGGGTCTTGGCTCGTAGTTTGCATGTGAGTTCTGCTAAACTGAGCTATCAGCGCGGTACCTGATAGTGAGGGCCTGATTTGGGGAAAAGAGGGGCAAGGGGTCAGATTTGGATTTGGGGCAGGCGGAAACACCCTTTCCCAGGTTTCTTTGTCATGTGGAGAAGGGTCCGCTAAAGGTTTAAACATCACTTTGTTGGATATGTTCACTTCTTTTTGGAGAACGTTTGTGTTTTTGAAGGGAATCCCCAGGGATTCACTCATTTCTGTTTTTTTTTTTTTTTTTTTTTTTTTTTATGTTGGACCCTCATCTTTGTGCTGTTTTCTTTTTAGGCGCCCTTTGTTTTTCTTTTTTTGGGGGGGACACTTTGACACACACCCAGTTTAGGATGGTTGTTGGCTGGTTGAAGCTTTTCTTCAAAAAAAAACATTTGGTAGGCTACATCCCAACAGCCGTTTCCTGCTGAACCACGCGGTGGGGCTCTTCGCGGACCAGAGCTTCGTGAAGCGCGCGAAGGCGGAGTACGGGGCCACGCTGGAGAAGAGGTCCCTGAAAAGGAGCAAGAGTATGCCCCTCGGCCTCATGGTGGGGAAAAAAAGCCGGTTCCCAAAATGGGTTGCCCTGGTAAATGGAAACCCTGGTAATGAAATCTGCGGTTTTCTGGGGGCTTAATTTGGACAATATCTAGAAAGCGGGGTTTGGATGTGGCTATGATTTTTGTTAGTAGGGAACCCCCTCCCAAAGGGTTGGTGGACATAAAAATCCCTACCAGAGGGCCCCTGATTAAAATTTTCACTCATGTAATTATATGGCTGTGGGTCCAAATTCTGTTCCCAAAATGGGTTGCCCTGGTAAATGGAAACCCTGGTAATGAAATCTGCTGTCCCCTGAAGGGTTAATTTTGACCCATGCCCATATCTAGAAAGCGGGGTTTGGATGTGACGCCCTTTTTTTTGGATCCAGAAAAAGAGTACTAGAGGATCGCTAAGAAAGGGCCAACGGGGACAAAGTGGGCATCCAAAATGTTTGATAAGGGTAGCGCGGGTCAAGTTTACCCAAGGTTCTACCGTCTTCCCAAATTTGGGCAAGAATCGTCACAAAGGGCAAGGGACGGTTGGTCCGTTTTAGAAGGTAGCGCGCAGGGCTGGGCAAGTAGAAGGGGATCCAAAAGGAGACGCAAAGGAAGGGTTCCTTGTAGAACTTGATTGCACTTGGGTCGCATCTTTCACCTTTGTGGGGAACATGCGTATCTTGTCAGGGCAGCTCCGAATCTCGAAACAATGACCAACCACAAGGGTAGATCATTGGTATGCGGCGCTTTCCCCGATTTCATGGGCCATGCCCCTGCCAGGGTCTTTGGAGTTTGTTGGCTGAAGCTTCCAAACCCTAGGCCCCCGCTCTGGAACTCCAGTTGGTTTCCCGCATGTCTGCCGGGGTCACGGGATGCGCTGCTTTTGGATGAGAACCAAAAGATACTGACCCGCAATCGCACAGCTACTGGCTGAAAGCTCAATTCAGGTGTTGGTTCCCTCCTTCACAAAGAAACAGAAAGAACCACAAGAACCCGCAACATGCTCTTCCTACTAACCTTGCAGGTTCTATTTGTTTATTTTGGGGGATAGCCCATTTTTGGGGGAGGGCACCCAGCAGGTCCTTTTCTTGTTTTTTTCTTCTGGTGAACCCATTTAATCCAGTTTGCCGCAACCGGTGTCTCCGTTTGGGCCAACGCCGTCGCCTTTCCGGGGCCTCAGGAAGTCCAACGCGCGCGGGGGGTGCTGCGGCTGCCGCTCTGAGCCCACGGCGCCCACGGAGGCGCTGCACGAAGAGCTCGCGGATCTGGGCCTCGACGAGGAGGAGCTCTTCTTCAGCGGCCTAAGAGGCGGAAACCGAAGGGGTTGCATTGTGTTGATGGTTTTGGTGGGTGTTTGTCTTGTCTTCCTTGGTAAAAAAAAAAAAAAAAAAACATATATATATATACATTTATATATGCATCTATAATTATATATATATATATATACGTATGTGTTGTTCTATCCGGGGTGGTTTGTTCTTGTGGTTTGAATGTTTTCAGTGATTGTGTTTGTGTTCAATGGGTTTCGAGTGTCGCTTGTTGGTTTGTGTCATACACTGAGCTTTGGAGCCGTAGCGAGGACGCCATAGCATTCCAATCGTGGAGGACCATTCAGGGCCATTGAGAACAATGAGCTTTGTGGGGCAAATTGATTCAACCGCAGTCTTGATCCACGTAAAAGTGACCCCAAAGGAGATTAGTTTCAGGAATATGGGTGCAACTCATGGGTTGAAGGAGCTTATTTGCAACAAACCAGTGCATTCAATCCCTGGCGTTCCTACCATGCTTTGTGTTTTCTTGTTTGTGTTCCCCTATTCTGGGTTTGGCCATGGCCCTCCTTTTTTAATTCCCCCCCCCTCGAGGTTTGAGCCACCGAGACGCGTTGTTCGCCTGCTCCATGCTGGTCTTGGCGCTGATGCTGGACGGGCGTATCGCGCGCACGGACTGGGCCTTCATCCAGCGGGCCGCGCAGAGTGCAGAGCCCCCGTTGGAGGCGAAGTGGGCCAGCGCGGTGTATCTGCTCAACATGCGGCTCGCTCGCTGAACAGCCCAGCGGGGCTTTCGCGGAGCTTTTGGCTCGTTGTCGCTTTTCACCAGCAACCACTGGCACTTTATGTCTGACTTTGGGTATTTTGGAGTTTTTCGGCTCATCGCTTTTCACCCGGCGAAGAGCGGCCCTACTTGAGGTGGTTTGGAATTTTTACTCATTGCTTTTCACCGCCAAAATTCCACCCTGTTGTTCCTGTTTGATGGGGGAACCCTCCATGGTCAATCTCAAACGCGACTTGCTTCGATTTTGCTACCAGGGTCACTGAGCAACTGAGTTTTGGAAGTTGACCTAGTTGCAAGGGGTTCAGCTTTGAGAGTACAATGAGGGTTAGCGGCTTTACTTACCTGGATTTTTTCGTTCTTAAGCTGGGAGCAAAGCTATCTAATTGCCCCTTGTTCTGCATCGTTTGGGGCTTTGTTTTAGATTTTAAACCAAATAATTGGCGTTATCAATTTGATTGGGAGTTGTTGCTCCGCTTCAAGTTCACGGCAGTTGCTGAATATGCACCTTGGCTCTAAGATATACACACCCCAAAACCACTTCCCCTATGAGTGAACAGGGCAAAATGTACAACCAACCCTGACATCGCAACTCCCAAAATTGGGGTAGTGGCTGGAGGAAGGTAGCTCGAAAATGGTTTCCCTATGAAATCAACTCAGGGGATGTAGGTTGTTTGTTTTGTTGACTGGCTCGCATGGCTTCTACTCGTAGGACAGTAGAGAGCTTCTTTTAGTTTCCCCTCGGGCAAACAGGGCCTTGGGGCGCCTTGAGGTACTGTAAGGGAAAGCAAATGAGTGCAGCCTCTCGGCCAAGCACATCGGGCTGGGTTGGGTTCGGAAGTTAGCATGGCTAGCCGTTTTATCCCCCAGTGAACCTCGAGCTATGTGAGTAGACCCCGAAGGTTGCTTGGCATGTCACGAACTCCTTATGAGGAATTCCGCAGACACATCAGACGGTCGCATGTTTAGCTTGATCCAACTCAACACTTGCAGAAACCGCAGCTTTGGAGAGGGCTGTGTTTCCAGTTGCAACTCTTGCTACGTACACTCGTCCCATCTGAAGCATCTCCTAACGTGACCATGCTTGAATATTGCCTTCTTGTCAAACATTGCTTATGCGTTGCTGCATGTCACGGGTGCGCTGTCTTGTTCTTTTGCAAGACACCGGGTTCAGCATGCATGAGGGCTCGCCAGAGAAGACCTGCTGCAAAATCGTAGTGCTGCCGCATAGGCGGCTCCCGCATGGGCGGCAGCCCATGTTTGGTGAATATTGAGGAGCTCATGATACTAGGATTCAGGAGTCAGAAGGAAAACAACATGTTAATTGGAGTGGTCTACCCCATGGCTGTCAGCTTGCCAAAGAGGGGACCCCCCAAAAAGGGCACTGCCCCTAGGCCTGATGCGTACCCCTTGGGCCCTAATCGGGGGGCCCTTGACAACCATAGGAGTCTACCTGTGAACTCGGAAATGTGTTGTTGTTGCGTGTTTGCTCGGAGGCATCCCTGAGCTTATGTGTCTCTCGTGCTTGAGATATCCCTTAGTTCTTGATACTCAGTTGTCCAGAGTCATGAGCCGAATCCTTTGGAAGTTGGAATATATGCAGATCAACATGCCTGTTGAAACATTGACTACTGTAGCCTGATAATGTCCTTCAAGCAGTGGTGGTGTCTGATTCAGGCAGGACCAAACTGGGTGTTGCATAGAGTAGGTTTTCAGATGGGACCGAAGGAAAGGTGCGGTGATTGCGAACTGCTTCTTGAAACCCATCTTCTTGCCCCAGCCGCATGCACTCATCCAGGGACAGGAGCCCCATACCCCCCAGAAAAGCTTTTAGAACCTGTCGCGCAGAGCTCTGGCCTCTTTCTAGTTCCACTTTCGAGAGACCAAAGTTCTATCACCTTGTGGCGATCGGGTGTTTGGAGCAACCATGCAGGAGATGTTTCACCAGATTTTTGAGACCAGCGACGGGAAAGAGACATCGGCGAGCTGCAGTGACTATGTGTCAGACACGATGCGCACCGTTTTGGAGTACACGAATTGCTGCTGAGAATTCCCAGACCTCCAGTGGGTTTGCCAACCGCTTCCATGTTTGTGGATTTGTTGAGCCCAGAGAGGAGTCTTTTCGTGTTTAACTTGCTTTGGGTGGGCGACCCCCTTCCAAGAACCAGGCCCGACAAGTCCAAGAGTTCCCGGAAATCCACGTGGGGCTGGGAGAACTGGCTGGGAGAACTGGCTGTTATGGGCGCAGCTGGCCATTGGAGATGGTGCACTTAGAACCTCCTCCCCGAGATTTGGGGAAATGCCATAGGTAAATGACAGCCACCGAAGGATCACTACTCTTGAGGTTGGAGTTTCAAGGGCTGTGACACCACAGGCAAGGCGTAGACGCCTTGAGTTGGGAGTCACAGGAACAGCTCCTGTTTGGCCCAGCTGCGCACACCAGACGTTCGCCAATTTCCACGAGCCTCAGCACGGCGAAGAGCACTTAAAGGAGACTCGCCAGCCGTTGAAAACGGCCTGTGAGACCCTTCTGCTGTGTCGGGTAGTGTCAAAACTAGGGACCGTTTTGGAGACCTTAAACAGGAAACCAACACGCCAACACGACACCAATTAGTTTGGGGTCCCAAGTTTGGACATGTATTTCGAACCAGGAAGCCTGACTGTAGAAAGCTATGGTACCCCATTCCACCTGAGGTTTGGATGGCCGGTTCGGAGGTGTCGCTGTCCGCTTTAGTTTTTACCAAGACCTAGAGACTCAACTCCGCAAACCGCGTATCCAAACCGCCAGAGAGTTACTCCGGAGGGAAAGTACCGGGATCTTTGCGAATTGGTGCAGTTTTGAAGCCGCCAGGCGCCTCACTTTGTGAGCTGCGCCCTCTTCAGACTCTTGAGGATTCGAGCCAATTGTTGGCCTTTGCACGCGAAGAACAAAAAGTATGCCATCCGAATCTTGCCTGTTCTCCTTCCAGGAATGATATGTCAGTGGATCCAGTTGCAATTATGGTAGATATTCAGGAGTTGTACCTCTAGATTTGACATGATGGTTTTCTCTGGTTACCTACTAGTATGATGTCTTAAATTGTTCGCCAGGGCAGCCTATGCTTTCCCGCTGATTTTCTTCCGGTGCAGGAATCGGACCGCCGGAGGAGCTAGATTAGTTGCAGATCTTGCTAAAGCGCCGACGCTCGATAGTTTCATTTTGCATCGCTTTGGTTGTTTAGTTCCTAGCCAGTGATTGACATTTCGCCTGTAGATGACTAGGATCAACTGGACTTTTGGTTGACCCTGTGTTTCGGCCCCCCAAGCTTTCCTTTTTGCTAGCCAAGAGATGAACAATGGTCCAATCCCAGAACAGTATATTAAACAATTAAAAAAAGGACATTCCTGGAGCTTAGTCCAACTGAGCAAAGAGAAGAAGTCCGTGTGGAGTGGCAAAACCAAATCGGACCCGAAGCTAGGGCCAGGGTCTTTGGGTCAGGCGGTGCTGGAGCTGATGAGCCACGGAACACTTGGCGGCGGCTTCCCCTACGACCTGGGCACCCGGTGCTGGGCCTTCGAGGTGACCGCCTTCCATGCCCAAGGCGGGGAGCTCTGAGGAAACCCGCTGAGGGATCTGCTTGTGGGATCTGTTTGTTGGATCTTTTTGTGGTGTTGGATCTTTTTGTTTGTTTGTTGAGGGATTTGTTTGTAGGTTGAGGGATCTGTTCACCGTTTTTTGGTTGGAGCTCTTTCCGTTGTCAAGTGACCCGAGCGACCCAAAGCCAAAGTGGCCTACGCTTGTTCGTGGTTTGAAGGGTCTTTTTGTTGAGGGAGCTGTTTGTTGAGGGATCTGTGTGTTTTTTGGAGGGATACCCTTCAAAACGTTGGAGCAGGAAGCCAACGAAGACTTCCGAGACGCCGGCTCGAACGGGAAACGCGTCCCAGGCCGCGGCGGGGCGCAGGTCCTGGGCAGCTTGGATCTGGCGCGCTGGCTGGCACGGAACGTCCAAAACGTCCACTAATCCTCACCCCTGTTTTGAGGGAGGGTGTGACAGGAACATCCTCAGTGAATACATAGCCTTCAGCCTGAGTTGCTCGCAGCTTTCGGCGACACGCGTTGTGTCCTTGCAATCGGCTAAAGAGTTGGCTTGAGCTTGCTGAATTAGAAAGTTAGTTCCTCCTTTAGGCCATTCGCACGACGCCTGGCGCGATTCCGTAGCTGAAGCCCGTTGCCATCCTTAGCGCGCAGCAATCGCAGCTTGTGCACGCGTTTAGCGCCTAAGCACTTGCGTTTGTTGCGATAACAAATGCTATTCGGCACCAAGTAGTTGTAAGCTTGTTACGTTTGCTGCCATAATTTGTTGTCTCTTTGTCTTCCGCAGTACGCACGTTACTGTGCACGTCTTATGCATAATTCTTGGCTTTCCTGGATAATGCCACGGCAACCCCGAATCACTGCAACAATGTCCCCGAATAGGGCAACATCGTTTTAAGCCTCACCCCGGTTTCCTCGAGGGAGGGTGTGAAAGGGAGGGGCTTAGCGGAAGGGGTTTTGGTTCCTATGGAGCCCGTTTGGAAGGCACCGGGGCTTGGAGGGCTTGGAATGGGGTTGGCTCCTATGGAAGCGGCCTTTTCCAAACCCTTCTGTTCTATGGCTGCAAGGAGAGTATAAGTGGTCATCTCTGGACCTCTCAAATGGCGCCACCTTACATTTGAGGGTTCACTAAATCTGGACCATCTGAAATGGATTTTTCGGTTTCTTGGGTCAGCTGAGGCATTGCCAACACTAGGCCCTAGGCGAAACTATGATGTCATGTTGTGCGACTTGTGGCGTACGGCAGCCGCTGCGGGCCATTTGGTCTTCTGACCTCATGGGAAGCCACCCGTGTTTCTGGTGGAGTCACGGCATGTTTTCGCCGTCGGGGTGAAAGCACGGAAGACCTGAGAATCCTACACGGGCTCCCGCTTGGACCTTCTGAAGTGCCAGGTTCAGCAAAGCCTGCCAGTGAACCCCAAGGATTTTGAAGGGGACATCCGCAACCGCTGTACCCTCACGGTGATTCAATCCAGAATGTTTCCGCTCGAATTAGCACATCCAGGCTGATGATTCTGGGTTGGTTGTCCTTCCCTTGAACCCAAACCTCTTGAAATTGAGTGACAGTAAAGTAATGGGTGGCTGCCCTCGCTTTGAACAAAAAGATCCCCGATTTGGGAATGCCCCGCATTGCGGTTCTCCGTCACTTGACAAACGCCATAAATCCTGGACCTTCCATTGTTGCATAAATTTGTGTCACGAAAGAAAAGTGCTCGGGGCAACTAGAACACGGGCTTCTTGCAAACTACGAATTGTTGCATGTTTTGGATTTGCGCTCGCTTTGCGGGTATTTGCACTCGTTGTGCAGGCATTCGTGCCCGTTTTGCGGGTATGTTTCCACATGTGTCCACGCAACAGACTATACCTAGAGATTCGTTGCGGCAGAAATTTCTGCCGCAAATGCAAAAAGGCGCCTTTTTGGATTTGCGGCATTTCTTCCTGATTTGCGGCGTTTTTTTAGAATTGCGGCAGAACTTGTTTTCAGTTTTTTCTACCCCCCGATTTGCGGCGGAAATCGGCGGGAATGCGGCGGAAATCGGCGGGAATGCGGCGGAAATTCCCGGAAAGCAAACGGAGTTGCGGCGGTTTTGTTTTGGTTGCGGCGTTTTTCTTTGTTTGCGGCTTATTTTCTGGAATGCGGCGGGAATTTCTGCCGCAATGCGTTGCGGCAGAAATTTCCGCCGCAGGAAGTTCTAGGTATGAGAAGAGAGAAGCCGCCGCAACAGCCAAAAATGCTCGAATCCAAATTTGTGCCCCGTCCCCCGAAAACGCCCGACTAGGAAATGGTTGCTACCAACCACCCAAGGGACACACACACATTTATGTAACGAATGAAGGTCCAGGATATTAGTTTCCTTTGCGTTTTTAGGGCACTCTTTAGGGGTGCCGCTGATCTGGGAAGGTGAGCTCCAAAATCTAAGGAGACGTGGCATCTGATTGCCCAGGGCCAGCTGCAGGAGGACACGTCCCAGCTAGGCGTCCTGAGTTTTTTTTGTTCAGGCACCCTCACCCCCAAAGAAAAATGAACGGAAACACTGTGGTGTTGGTTTCCTTCTTTGTTTTGGGACCCCCCCAAAACACCGTGGTTTTAGTTTCCTTTGACATGACCATTCAAACCAAAGCCCAAGGATTATCCCTAGCAGTAATTAGCTCTAGAGTCTCCCCGGAACCCTGGGCCCCCAAAAGCAGCATTGACTACCCTCCCACCAATTAACATGGAACCTGGCAGAGGGGTCCTGGTTTGGACCATTCTCCTTTTAAAGGGGCCCCCAAACGTCAGCTTCCATGTCAATCGGTGGGAGGGTAGGCTACGACCCACATTCATAGGTGTCCTTTTTAGATTAGTTTGGTTAGAAAAAATGGCACTGGTTTATATACATTGGTTTTGTTCCATTCATCAGGAGCATCTATTTTATCAATCGGACACCTATCCCCACATTATTTGGGCCTGGGACATGCACTGTGCAGGAGGTCTTTGTCCTTCCAAGCCGGCAGCTGGTGCCAGCCACTTGGTGACGTCGGGCTTACCCGAGAGACGGCCAGGAGTTACCAGGGATCGATTGACTTGTTGATGCTTTGTGGTGTCCCTTACTGGGTGGATTGGCAGTGCTTGTCAGACGGTGTAAAGGTCATTATGATTCGATCATGGCAACTGAATGGCAACAAATGGTTCCGACACAGCATTGAAAGTCGGATGGCTTCATGATTGCTGTCCGCACCGGAGATCGCCTACTCGTGTTTGATTTTACATGCCATCTTGGAGGCTGCGTGGCTGCAAATCGCATCTAAGGTGCGGTATTTGCTGGTGAAAGCGCCCTGGACAAAGAGATGCCACAGCAAACTCCATCCTTGTGCTCTTGACTGGGAGCAGTTTCTGAAATGTGCAAGCAAGCACCGTTTTAGGTCTTACAGTCAAAAGTACAGCTCTGGAACAACAAGACGAAGCCTTCCATGAAGCAAGCGGGTTAGGCTTTTTAGAAAGGGGCGCGACTTGCACTCGAAGAGAGGAACCCAGAGATCCATGCAATGTGAGTTATCTCCTCGCTGGGGTGACCGATGCTGACATTTCGGGGCTTTCAACCCACGGTGCTGTGGAGGAATCGACGATATCAGGAAGCCGTTCCCAAAACGAGTGTCCTTTCAAATTGGGGTCCAGAAGCCTGGCTAAAAGTTACCCCAGATGTTGGGTACTGCTCTCCCCCGTTTTCACAGGTCTCGGGTGCATCTCTTCGCCCGCAGCGACAGATCAACGTTTCATGGCCTCCCCCCTCGCCTAAGGCTAATTAAAGAAGGGGGGACCAAGGGGGAGGGGTACCTTTTTCCTTGCTTGGCACGCCTGTGAACAGACCTTTAGTGAGTTCCGTGCTAGTGGGCAGGATCCTGAGGGTACCTACCACAAAGACCAGGAATTGTCCGAACATTCAACAAAGTCAAAAAAAAAAAAAGTACTTAGATGTTCGGCCAGCTTAGTAGTTGGTTCGCCCCTTGGGTTATAGCCCACTTCTAGTCGGGGTAACCCCAGTGAGCCGGGGTCTTGTAAGTGGGTTATAGCCGAACGGTGTCCAACAACTTGGTACGGCTGCGTTTTCTCTTGCTGGTGCGATAGGCAGGGAATGAGAAATAGGATGAACCCCATTAAAATAAAAAAAAAAATCCGAATTTCACTGGTGGTTTCCTTTGGGATTCCCAAAAAGGATTCCACCACATTCCCCGATTTCGCACCATCGAGGCGGATGTCACCAGCACCTTGACGCCGCAGGGGCACTGCAGCGGCATGGCGCCCCCGGAGGGCAAGAGGTGGAGCCATTCGGTGCCGCACCAGGAGCCATGAAGCTCACGGGAAAACCTGTAAAACAGCACCCGGACCCTCTAACCCCCATCAAACAAGGGAAGTCCCCCCCTAGATTTTGGGGCAAGAACCCATTTTTAAGGGCATTTTGAGGGTCCGGGTAGCTTAATGGTGGCTGTGATTTCCTTCTGGTTTCCCTGAGTCTTAGCGAGTTGGGTTAGGAGTTAGGCTGTTTCAAGACTTCTTGGGCATAAATCAGAAAGTTACAACGCAATATGTGTCAGGAACCCCCCACATGTGTGTTTGTGGCCCGGGTTTCCCTTTTCATCCGGCCCAAGCCAGCCAGGATGCATCCTTCGTGACGCTGTTGGTGGAGAACAGCCCAGGTGCCGCTCCACCAGCCAATTGTGTGGTTTCCTTTCTGTCCATAGGTGTCCTTTTGATCGGTTAGGTTGGTTAAAAAAAAAGAGGTTCCACTGGCTTAGATGGGTCTTAGAACAAGAGCCACCCAACTATGTTTGTGTGGAGTTATTTTAAGGGGAAGCCAACGGGAAACGAGCAATCCTGGCGGTTCACCGGGTTTCCAAGAATTGGGGCACCCCGGCGGGTTACGAGGCAAGTTGCTGCCCCCAGAAAGTGAACGATCTCCGCCTCACTTATAAATCAACCCGGGGGATTTGCCTCAATCTAGAAGCATCATCCAGAAGTTGAAGGAACACAGGACCGCTTGCTGAGAGCCTGGGTGATTCATTCATCCTTTCCCACGGGGGTTCAATTCCAGCTTTCAAGGTACAGGCATGGGTCGTACAGCCGCGGAGCTTTGGGCAGGCCTCTTTCTGAAGACCGACCTGCAAAGCCCCTGGCAGCGAGTCCACTTCTCACGGCCTGGCACCGCGGCCGACTGCAGATAGAACTCGAAACACTCAGAATGCGCGAGTACTGTTCCTGAAAGCAGAGTGACTCAGATCAACACGAATTGAGCATTTGAACTCGTATCCCAGTTTTGGGTTACAATTCATCTTGGTGTCTATGGGTTGATCTTTCATTTCCAAGCCTTGTGGTACAGTAGTGGGCTTACAGACATTTGACCAAGGTCATGGGATCAGGGATACCTTGATGTCATCTGAAGCTCATCAACTGTGGACGCATTCTTAGTCCAAGAAGGCTGAGCAGTGCCTGAGCAGTTGGCGTCGGGTTGGGCTTGATTCTTTGGCGAGGAAGCTTCATTCCGACTTGCACATATCTCAAACAAAAGGTTAGCAGATCGGTACGTGTATACTGCACCAAAGCCAAGTTGAGGCACACCAATTGGAGGGTCCGTGTTCCTTTCGCAGGTGCACTTGATGAGGAGGCATACTCGGGAGTCCATGCATGGAATCTATCCTTCATCTCCCTTGACAATGGTGATCGAGTCTGAACGTCTTATCATGAAATGAGCTCACAAAGCAAGAACGGTTTGGGTGGCTGACGGCAGGTGGGCTTAATTAATTGTGACGGACAACGTGACCCATTCTTTTGACCTCATTGAAAGATAGCACCGCGAGTACAGACCCCGACACACACACACACACACACACACACACACACACACACACACACACACACACACACACACACACACACACACACACACACACACACACACACCACACCCACACCCACCCACCCACCCACGCACGCACGCACGCACGCACGCACGCACGCACGCACGCACGCACGCACGCACGCACACGCGCACACACACGCCCACACCCACACCCACACACACACACACACACACACACACACACACACACACACAGACACACACACACACACGCAAACCCAGAGACCAACAAACAACACAAACCCACAGACCCATGGACCCACAACTGCAGAGGAATCCTTTTAGACACCATTCTCCAAAAAACCACCAACATCCTGGTTTTTGCCCGATTCGCTAGGTCGCTTGCTGGTGGTGGCAGGGGCTGCGCTCACTTTGGCCTCCCGAAACTTCTATCCGGCACCCTGCCACGCCGTTCAGGCGAGAGAAGCGGTCGGAAGGTGTTGGTTCCTTTTGCTCAGGCGAGCGCCTGGTTCCTGTTGTGGGCTTTTTAACAAACTTGCGGCAGGGGCCAAAAGGGACTTTTCTGGGCGTAAGTCCTTAGTACGGCCTGCTAGGATCTTTTTCTGGGGGGGTGCGGGAGGCGGGTTTGGATCCGTGTTAATAAAGGCAATTTCTTCCCAGCTTGGTTTAAACGGAAACCAAGAGGAACATCACCATTTTGGGCATCCCCCTGTTTGGACACATTCCTTTTGACCAACCGGTTTGAGCGCCTTGCGAGGTTCCACCCTTCCTGCGCCTCTCCTGGGCCTTCATCTCTCCAGCGCACGTATGCTTCTACAAGCCCGAGCTCCAAATGCCCTTGTCGCAGTGCGGCGTGGCGCCTCCGCGCGTTTGTTTGGCTGCCTTGTTTCGCTTGGGGGGAGTTGAGGGGGGGGGGTGGAGAACCTTTATGCCTTTGTGGCTGTGAGTTTCGAGCGTTTGTGTTTGTTTTCTTTGGGAGAGGTGGTGGTGCTGGAGAACCCTTATATGGCTGTGATGTTTTGTTTTCTTTTTGAACAACATGCGGGGGGAGGAGCGCGTACGCAGCTATGAATTCGGATCGTTGTGTTTTTTGGGAGGCTAGGAAACCAATAAATATGTATACTCTTGGTGGCTCCCAGCCATCCCCTTAGCTTTTTAGCTCTTTATAGTGTTTACCATATAACCCACTAAAAGTTCAACTTTTAGCGGGGGATCTGAGCACAGCCCAGCAGAGTGTGCTTGCTTTCAAACATTTTGGAACTAGCACCCTTTGTTTGGGTGGTTGAAGGGACACCAAAGGCAAACCGATCACTTCGGTAATTTGAGAAACACCCACATATGACTGAAACTGGATAATAGGCAACTGTCCTCAAGAATTATTGGACAGACATCCCTCGTCGTCAATGGTGTTCGATTAACACGTTTGCCCATCCATGGGTAGTTGGAAGACCCCATCCCACAGAACCTTCTTGTTTCTCCTTGTCTTGTCTTTTTCGCGGGTTCCCACTAAACATTGCCTACCCCAACAGAGTTCCAATGTCTTTTCTACGAAGGTCAACTGGGGAACCCAACTGGTCACATTGACATGGGGATTCGTGAAATTCTTACTCTTTTGCAGATCAACATGGAACGCCAAAACGCCAACATCGTGGAGGTGTCGACTTTTCTAGGACCCCTTTTCAGGTTCCATAGCAGTTGGCAGGGCAGGGCTTGTGGCATGTGCGAAGGACGCCCCCTTGGGGTCCTATGGCCTGGTTTGCTTTGGCATGTTGCGCTGGTTTTCGCGAACCCAACATCTGGATCGAGTTGAAGCCACACGGATCCCCAGGCACGAATGTGGCAGCCTCCATCGGTGATACAACCAGGCAAGACCTAGATCATTCCATGATTCCCATTGGTAGAACACGGGTTGATCCCCACCCTTGTTTACCGGACTCCCCTTCTGTTTTCTTAGCCCATTCACCCGAACCAGTCCTCGCAAGTCCAAATCCCCAGCTTGTTTCAGTGACTCTGCTGCTGTCTTTGTTCCTGGCCCATTCGCCCGAGAGCCGGGCATCTCTCAAGGTTTGGAGGCCTGGCATCACTGCACCCGAGAGATGCGATGATGGCCCGCTGGTAGGAGGACTCGGCTTGTGCCTTGTGGAGAAGCCGCAAGCTTGTTGTGTGCCATTTTCTCCAAAGACCACCTTAGGTGGGTCAGGCCCATTGGGATTTGAGCCAACCATGGGGAATCATGGTGAGGATTGCCATTCAGGGAACCATGGCCGCGTGCGAAGTTCTGACCACGGCACATGGAACCCCTAATTTGGTGCATTGAACATTCCTTCCTCTCATTTGATCTGCGGGGACCGGATCACCGCGTGGTTGACGGTTCGGTCAAAATAGGCCGCACTACCACAGCATTGTGAGTGGCACATGGACCCTTTGAAAAAGGTAAGCGAGTCTCTTTCCCCTATCACCAATACGCCCCCCTCATTAATATATTGTGATACTGAGAGTACAATGCTGTAAGGGAGATGCTATGAATGTTAGGGGGTCTCGGAGATTTTCGGCAAGGACATCCACGTGCACATGGGCTTTCTCATGTGTAGTTTGTTTCTACGAATGACGGATGCAATGCTAAAGATGTGTTTGTCCTATATCTGATTTCTTGCTGCGCCCCTTGCTTGAAGCGATTCGCATGCCGCTGACTTGTCGAATCTTTGCATTTGTCCAGCCATCTGGCCACCTGGATTGTCAGTGCGCACTACTCGATGTTGGTTTGGCCTGATTAGACAAGGATGAACGACACATGGAAACTGGGCGGATTCGGACAAAGCACTGCATCCGATGTTTTTTCTCAACGTCGGCGTTCGTTCGTTTGGGTTGCAAATGGTTGCTTCCATGAGTGAGATGGTGACAGCAAGCCAGCCAGCCAGCAAGGCACAGCATATGATTTGAAAGTTGCAGGCACTCATTGAGCCTCTGATGTTTAACATGAGATAGTGCCTGCAACTTTCAAACACATTGCAGAGTGACCACCATACAAAAAGGACAGCAGGGTGTAGCATCCGATAGTATTCTCGAACATGCTTGTCCTTCTTAAGCCTCACACATTTTCCCCAATTTTCCACAAAGGACCTTTTGGCTTGGTAGAGTTGGAATGGTGAACCCCTTCCATTAAACAAACAAAACATCCCCGCCGCGGATGTGTTTGCCATGGGCTGCCGCGTCTTCGCGCTCTCCGGGCTGCAGCTGCTGGAGCTGTCGCCTTCGCGGCTGGCGGAGCTGCAGGGCCTCGAGGCGCTGAAGGCGGGAGGGAAGGAACCCACGGCCGGGGGGGGACAGATGGAAGAAACGACCAGAAAGCCAAAAAGTTTTAGGCTACCTTCCATTTCCATTCTTTCCAGGGATCCTTCTTTCTAGAAAACCTGCGGAAATTTAGGGAAAATGGCCGGTTCTTGGAAAGAACGACGGTTGAAAATAATGGGGAATCAACCCCTAGAAAAAAGGCAAAAAACAAGGCTGACACGGTGTGTTGTCTATGAACGAAAAATGGTTGAACAAAATAGTCATGACATGAGTGGTACATTTGTAATGGCAGAATGGCACCATAAAGAAACCCGAGAAAGGAACACGAACGTGAGGTGTCCCCACCACGGTGCCGTGGCACAGGGAAATGGTCCCTTGAGTAAATTGGTCGTTCAGGTCCCACAGGTGCAGTTGGAAGTAGCTAAAGGCAATCTGCAACGTCTAGTCTTTCTCTTCACCCATTACCTTCACCTGCAGTCAATGTCTACCTATCAGTGAGAAATAGCTACACCAATGTCGGGAAGCAGGGTGCTTGTGAAGCAGATGTTTTGATGAGGACTCCCTTGCTTGAGGATCCTTTTTTTTTGGACCAACCAGCAACGCTCTGGTAAATTGCAGAGAGTCAGAGGGGTTTCCTTGTTCGCTTACTTGAAATGTGTAGGCATCCACCGGTTGATGCCCCAAATGTTGCAAGGGAACAAAGGAAATGTAATTGATCGTGACTTACCAAGGATGTGTGAGGAAGGTTTGTTTGGTTTACTTTCAATATTAGCGCCCATCCACCCCATCCACCTCATCCAACGCACAGCTAAGTAAGCAGGACCTTCTGGCCCCCCGGCTGGGTGCCGCCTCCGTGCGCCTGCGGCTGCTGGCAGGGGCCGACGAGGCCGGACCTACAGGACCCACCTGGTTGGTGGACTTGAGTCACCCTCAACCATATCCGCCCCGCAAAGGGTCCTGATTTGAATATCATAAGGGTGCCTTTTTGGGGTTTAAAGGGAACAACCTGAACATCACCATTTTGGGATATTATGCATATATATATATATATTAATATGTTTATTATACATGATTTCGGTTCAGAGGACAAATCTGCAATGAGACTAGCCAAAGCCCCTGGCTTGGGTGATCGGAGCTGGTGGTTTTTTGGGTGCTACTCAGGAGTTTGAAGTTCACAGTTTCGTTGATTCGTGAGTCGGGAAGTGGAACTGCACAGTGAAGTAGCGTAGTGCTAATGGGGACCTCCCAAGCGCTTGCGCAGCTTTGAGAAGCTCTTGCGGCGTGTCAGGCAGGTCGTGTGCAGACGGTCACGAGGAGGCTAGGCTGCCTCTATTGTTGGCACATTTTGTATAGCTGTGTTAAAAGATCGTGGAACGCCAGAAATCGATTCAGAACTTTGTATGTTTGCACATGGACTCCTGCAATACCAGGACTCAGGTCCCTTTGAAATCAACAAGTTTTCAGCAAGCCTTGTAGCCCCACCCCCTTTCCCCGCACAGGTTTCTGAGTGGCCGCCGCCGCGGGACTTGCAAGTGGTGGTCCTGCCCTGGTGTCAGCACCTGGCGCGAGAAGCTTGTCTGCATTGACCTTTTTGTATTGCAACAGGGTGCGGTTTTGTTTGAGGGCATCCCCTTTCGAGAAGCCAAAGGAAACCTACAATTTTGTGGTGGCCCCTATTTTAAGACATAAGTTTGTTGGCCTACTATCAGAGTCACCAAAAGCCAAAACATTGTCATCACAAGAGAATCTGGTGTGTAATTATTTGGCACCTATCACTGATGGCCCCTGATATTGCTTTCCATCAAGATTGGCAGCTTTGCTACAAGTGAAGCCACCATAGATGTTTCACAAATTCAAATGGCTCGTGCAAGGTGACAAGTTCCATTCGTGATTCCCCCCAGACCCCAGGTTGGAGCAACCCGGGTTTCTTCTTTTTCAGAAGGGTATTCCCGTGAAACTGAATTCAGGTCCAAAGTAGTTGTTACCATGCTGAGTTCAAGCAGTTGGTTGAATCGTTCCCTGCTAGATGACATGGGGTCACCTTGGTCCAACTGGAAGCGAGTTTCCGTTTTCTAAATCAGCAGACCCAATATCGCAGTGAACAGGGGCCTGTGGTGGGCGTGGATTTTTTGCTCATCCACTGTACGTCAGTGCTCATGTATGTCAAGGTTTGAGGTTGCTAAGAATTGTCAGCGGTCTTTTAAACCTCAACCGATTGTGGTTCATGGCCAAACTCAAACCCCATTGTTATCATAACCATTCTGGGTTCTATATGATAGAACTAAGGGAACCCTCTAGAATTTTTATGGTTCCCTTAGGGCTGATTGCTGCAACCCCCAAGCCTTTGGATGCGATTTCCCACGTTGAAGCTTAGGAGCTGCTGCTTGCGGCCGGGGGCGGCGACGTAGCCGCCGTGGGGCGGCTTCTTCGAGCGCCCCAGGCGAGGGAGACGGAGCCAGGCCGAAGGCCGATGGAGCCAAATCCTTCAAAGATGTGGGAGCTTCCGTGGAATCGCCGAAAGGTGCCAACACATTCCCGCGTTTTTCATGGGACATTGCGAGCACCCCAGCTGGTTGTCAACCAAAGTCATGGAAGATAGGTACATATACATAAAACCTGTCTGTTTCTCTTTTTGGGTCTCTTCACACAGTGCCATGTTGACCAGACGAATTCGGAGTTGATCCTCGTGCTTAAACAAATCTCCTGCACTTTATCCATCGTCGCGCCCAAAAGCAACCACACTGTACTGTCTGAACCAACAGCGTGTTGAAACCTTCTACTTCTTGTCTTGTTCGTGGCTGAAAGCAACATCCAAACGGTGATTCTTACTCTTTCGAGGAGTTGGCAGGAGGCCCTCCTTACCAACAATGGAAGCGAAAAGGGGGGTCTCCAAAGCCCTCCATGGTCAGCATTAGTCCATTAGTGTTCAGGGGACCCCTGGGTTCATTTGAAATGACCACAAGAAAAACCATCCAGCTGCACCATTTCGCCTCGCGCCTGGTGTTTTGACGAGGACCCCAACGGGGGCGCGTTGCATGCAGCGGCGCGGAACGGGCACGTGGAGGCGGAATTGGCCAACCCTCGGTTTGGAGAGCCCAACTCAAACCTCCCCCTCCAAAAATCAAGATGAGTAGATGAGTACGTATTTTTTTTAAGTACCCTTTTTGAGGACACCACCACACACTTTTTTGGGGCCCCTACTTTGAGACAAAGATGGTTCTGCTACCTGGCTTCGCAGAGGTTATAGAAGGGGCTACAGAAGGCTGTTATGACCATGTCGGTAGCACCCAAGGTCAATGGGTTTTGGGCACTGCCCAAATGAGGTTTGTCAGAACCCGCCCTTTTCGGCGCACGTGTGATGGAGACGGTCCCAACCCGAATCTCATTCTGGGCGGTGATTCCGAGCCCGTGGTGTTGACTGCTGGGCGTTGCTGTATCAAAGTCACAAATTGGTGTTGGTCCGTATCTAGATTGCTATTGGGTTGGATCTTTAGACTTTAACTTTTGGAAAATAAAGGTGTTTCCCACTAAACCCACAAAAAGTTAAACTTTTTGGAGGGGGTTCAACAGCAACCAAGGTATTAGCATTTTGGGAGAATGCCTGTGATGGCAAGATAAGGGGTCGACATAATGTTTCTCCAACATCTTGTTGGTAGGAACGGGTGCAAATACTAGGAGGGCCCATGCCAAAGCATCTGAAGCGATACGCGAGTCTCAAAGTCCAAGCTGTTGTCCCAAAAGGTGCGCCCAACAGCTTGACTATGTGTTTTTTACACATGTTGGACAAGCGAATAAAGGAAGTTTCTTCGTAACAGAGCATTTGTTTGAGATGTCTGTTCAAGAATCCTACAAAATGTTCATTGGTCTGCCGCTGAGCATCTGCAGGCGTCACACAATTGCAGTCTATTGGGACATGTCACTTGCTCTCGTCCAAATTCGGCCTTGAGGTGTGTGTGTGTGTGTGTGTTGTGTGTGTTGGTGTTGGTGTTGGTGTTGGTGTGTGTGTGTGTGTGAGAGCTTTTTGTGTGTTTTTGTTCTTTGCGTACCCTTTCTTTGGAAAGTTGGAGAAAATATGAGCCATTTGCGGCCCGCACGGACTTTTTCCGTCTTTGAGGCCAAGCACCCTGTTTGGAGTCTATTGGAAGCCATGTGCGGAGTATGTGTTTAAGACGATCTTGCATGAAAACGGCTGGAGCACCGATTTGGAGTAGAGGAAGCAATGTTGAATACTAGGTCATGCATGTCCAACGATTATGAATGGTAGAATAAATAGGAAGCCCGCTGTCACATATTCACACATTCCATTTTCTTGAGAATAGGCGTTACTTTCCATTACTTTCCCCTGTTGGTTTTAGAGGGAATCTATCACTACAGGCGATATGGACAATTTGTTTCCAGGGCTTAAGCAAATGGAGGAACAGTTGACAGTTGTCAGGGGTTTTCTCAAGAGAGGACCCCCCAACAAGGCACCCAAAAAGAACCCAGAACGGCACTAATAGGCCTTCGTCACCAATAGCCCCTATTGGGATTGGGGGTTTTCGTTCAACGATTCCCTTTTGCACTTCGTCACGTAAGCAGACAAGTTTCACTTCAGAGCCCGGGTTTTCGTTTGGACCCTTGACAACCAGGAAACCAACCCCCCCAACCAAATCACCAAACTACCAATTCGAGAAAAGCTGAAATGGAGGAAATGGGGGTTCCTTGTTGGGGGATCTCTAGGTTCATTCCCACCATCCAGAAGGGTCATTCCCGACTAGGGACCATCCTTTTGGGTAACATTCCATGCTGAGACCCAGGAAACCACTCCCTAACCAAGTCACCACCCACCAATTGGGAAGCTGAAATGGAGGAAATGGGGGTTTCCCTGTTGGATCTCTAGGTTCATTCCCATCCAGAAGGGTCATTCCCAGCGACCACCCAACACCCGGAGGGTACCTGGACCCAGCAGGTGCTCCAAAGCCTGCTGGCGGCTTCCGCCGCCTTAGACCTCCGTGGCGCCTACGAGGCCACGGCCCTGCTGGAAGCGGCGGAGCGGGGGCACCTACCCTCCGTGCGCTGCCTTGCGGAGGTCCCCCTGGAAACGATGCGACTGGTGGGGGGGGGTTGGGGGGTTTACCCCTGTCCAACTTGGGTTTTGTTTGGTGGCTCTCAGTTTTCCTGGTGGCTTCCCGTAAGAACTGGATAGCTTGGGCTTGTTTGGTGAGTTTTGCCTTCAAAACCTCCAGTTTTCCTAGTGGTGTCCCGGAAGAACTTGACGTTGTTTGCTTTTTGGTTTGCTTTGCCCAGGGAAAATACCAGGTGCGCCCAGTGGATGATGCACAACCCACCTTCGAGCAGAATATGGTCCCACCGTGTCCAAACGATTGGACTGATTTCATTTTGGGCAGGCGTTGTTGGTGGTCAACAAGAAGTTCAGACTCTTTCAGCCAGGCAAGCCACTAAAAAGAGGGGGTGTTTCCCTTTGTTCGGAAACATCAACGCAATGCCAGTCGTTTCTAGGTGCTTTGTGTTTGCTTGTTGGGTGTCAATCACCCACCGATAGCCAAGTATTGCATTGGCAGATTCATCGTAAAACTGCTAGCTGTGCTAGAGCTCAGCCGAGCCTGCTAGGTACCACTCATGATTCAATTAGAGTTGCAAGAACGCAAGCCATCAAATCAAAGATTGCCGGCATTCCCCAAGGTTCGAATCCCTGACTGTCCTCCGCCCGCCACCATGTGCCATCATTTCTTTCTGCTTGGCTTGGTGCACGTTGCGCGTTGCTCTTCTTCTCCTTCTTCAGGGCTGCTCCGAGCTTTTGGCAATCTCAAGGGTGTTTGTTGTGTTTGGCTCTTTTCAGGAACTATGGGGTTGCATCTTTGGAGTCTTTAGACTTGAGCTTTTGGGGGAAATCACGGGTTTTCCATACCCACAACCCAAAGGGTCCCGACTGTTATTGGGCCCTCCAAATGGGTTGTTGTTGAGGGCCCTTGAGGAATTGGTTGGGGTTCTCCATTGGAGGGTCGGGGGCTCTGCATAGGGGTCATGACCCTTAGGGAAGTTGAGCTTTTGGCAATTCTTAAAGCAATGCTTCCCAAAGCCAAACACATCCTCTAGACATTGGCACTTCCGAAATCCAATGACATCTTTCAAACTCTGACCCTGGAATTCCACGACTGTTTTTTAAACGTCCTTTGCACCTCGCCTGTTTTTTGCAGCTAAAGCCTGTTTTTTGCGCCTGCAGTGAGCCATGGCGTGGTATTTGATGGATTATTCATGCTGTTGCCACGTTTAGATTGTACAAAGCCAGTTCCACCCCAACATGTCTTGACACAACAATTTTGGTGTGAACATAGCGGTCCGTCATGTACGCAAAAGTAGCGTGAAATCACCGTGAAAATTCCGTGAAATTGGCGTGAAAGCCTGTTTTCCAGCGTGAAAGCACGTTTTCTGCCGTGAATTTTGACACCGGTGAATCTATGTGTTTCAGCCTGTCCTTTGATAATCCCTCCGCTTGTTTTGTGGGAACGGAGGTCAAGTCTTTGCACACTTTGGTCCTGAGCACGTGCGGCCCCCGAATTGTTCAATGATATCAGCTGGGCTTGGACAAAACTACTCCTGGCAAAAAAACCGCCTTTCACAGAAAACATGCAAAATAAACCGCCTTTGGATCCCCAGGGCTGACAAAGACAGTTTGAAAGACGTACAACATCTAGGGGATCTGCATAAAAATCATGACCCTTAGGGAAGTGGAACTTTTGCTTCCAATTGCTTAAGATTTTGTGTTGTTTAATACTTTTCCCGCTTGGTTTTAAAGGGAATCTATCACATTTTTCTTTTTTCCAGGGGGCTTAAGCAAATGGAAGTTTGGCAAGGGGTCTACAGCGATCCAGTTTTCTCCGCAGGCACGCGCCAACCTGGACCTCGCCGGTCTGGGTTGCACCACCCCTTTGCTCGCAGCGGCGGAGCGGGGCCGGCTGGACGTGGTGCGGTTCTTGCGGCTCGGTTGGAAGGGTCCCTTCATTTGCTTAAGGATATTTGTTGTTTTCCCCTGTTGGTTTTAAAGGGAATCTATCACTGGAAATATTGTTTTGTTCCAGGGGTCTAAACCAAATGGAAGGTCTTATCGCCACGGGTAAAAATCCAAATCGTACCCCCAGTGAACATCCCAATCCAACCACTAAAATAGGTCTAAAATGGGTGGTGCACCTACCCCAAAATGGTACCATTGGTTTTGACCCACAGCCATATCTGGCTGTGTCTTTTGCTAGGCACCCCCCAAAAAAGGTGGTATGAAGGTCCCACCGGTAAAGTTTCGCCATGGTACCACTCAGTTGGCCATTCTGCAAGACTAAGTCCTCTAACAGGAGTCTCGAGGATTGGCAATACTTGATTTCGGCAACCTGCAGTACTCATTATTCTGAATCAATTGGATGTGACACGTGCCCTAAGTGCAAACTGCTTGCTTGGCCTTTCGTATAGTAGTTTGTGATCAACTGAATCTGTGAGACTACCTTTGGGTAAGCCTCTTGGGAGGTATGCCACAAGGGTCCATTTGTCATTCGATCGGTGAATTAGCTTGCCTATATACTCGTAGCTAATCCAGAATATGACATGGCCTAGGCTACTCACCGCTACTAACCGAAACTGCCATCCCGAATACACAGGTACCCAAGTCCCCTATAGCTGATCCAACTACTCTGCCATGGCTTAGGTTGGCAAAAGGCGCTGACAAGGAAGCCGCGGACGCGCGGGGCGTGACTCCGCTGCTGGCGTCGTTGGGCCATTTGCAGCTTACAGAACTGCTTTTGGAGGCTGGACTTAAGCGTAGCTTCCCTCTCCCCCCAAGGATAGAATCCAGGGTGTATGTCTAGCTTAGGGCAAGCAACAAGCGGAACCCCGCTAGGAATGGGCTTGGAAATTGTACTAATCGCTTTGGGCCTTGTAAGACCAAGTTGCCTTTAGAGGGTAACACCTGGTTGCTTTCTGTGATAGACAATGTGAACATCGGACGAATCCAGAGAGCCAAACTAAACCTAGGATTCCTCTCAAAATGAATGGATCAATTTCCGGCCAGAAGGGCAGCCACTCTTGATTGGTAGGATTTTCGGGATTAAAATCCGAGGTTGACATGAGTTGGATATGAGTTAGTTGGAGTGAAATGGCCTGTTGAAGTACCCATAGGCAAAGGCTGAGCTCAACACGCCGGAGAAGGACGGGAAGACCCGCTACGCCTGGCAGCGGGCATGGGCTACCTTGACGTTGCGCGTTGCTTACTGGAGGCCAGTCCAAACTCCAATCGGCCTTCTTTGGAGGAAACCAGAGGCGGGGTTTAGGGGAGGCGGTTTGAATCATCCTTTAAACTTGTTCACGAAGAACAGTTTGTGCGCAAGGGGATTCCACAAAGAATCGACCACAAAGACGTTGACAATCGGTGAGTGATTCTTTGGGGCCGCAACTTGTCACCGCACAGGTCCCAAAAAGAGCGGTTTTGTTTCAACAACCTGCAAGCTTCTGCTACATGGTTCATACCTCGAAGACTGCCACGGATACCAAGAACACCTATTTGCATATAGAGCAATTACTCTGTGCAAACCCGATGTTCAGACATTGGTGTTTATGGAACTACAACCCCCCCCCTCTACAAAAGGTTGGTTTCCGGTTGGTTTCCCTATCCCAAAGTGTTCCCAAGATTAAGACACCCTACCAGTCCCGCAGCAAGTCCATTGGGGCCGGCTGGCCTTTGTAGAGAGGAATTGGGAAACCACCCCTGAACCTCACCACCAATCCAAACCATCAGAGGGAAGCTGATGGCCAGTTGTTTCCCTCAGGCCAGGGCCAGCCTGAACTGCCCTGACGCGCTCGGGGTCACCGCGCTATGGGCAGCGGCGCGCAACGCGCGCCTGGACGTGGTGCATTACCTGCTGCAGCAACAGCACGTGGACAAGGCTGGTGCATGGGCTCTGGGCGGGCCAATATAATGAGCCATGAGAGTCCTTTGGGGGTTTCCATGTGTGAGTGGTTTTTTTTTGAGAGGGACCCTGAAAGAGTGCAACCCATCCTGCAGAATCTGCGGGGACCCTCAAAGGGTTGCCAAAACAGGTCCCGTTGCTTCCCCGAGGACGAAATTGAGGCCCTCTAAATTTTGGATGAGTTGGTTCTGGAAAACCAGCCTAATCGATCGACCCAGTTTTGTTCCTGACCTGAAGCCCTGGCCGGATGTGGAGCCTAAAGAAAACCAACCCATCTGGGCAAACTACTTCCCAAAGAGTTTGAATAGGTCTCAGTGTGGGAAATACGTGTTCCGAATCCTATCAGAATGTCTATCTTAAATTTGGAATTTAGATAGCAATTCCTGGCTAAATTATGACTCGATTAGAGGCTAGATTGAGGTTGACAAGGAATGATTCCATTCATAATTAAGCTTACGTTTAAAGTCGTGATGCAAATAGAATTAGAAATATTATATTCCGAGAATTTACAAAAGAGTTCAACTCGAGTTTCAATGCTAAACAGGCTTTGTGTGGGAGGAATTCCTTTCACTGGATCAGCCCTGCCCAAAGCCAAAAGCCAAAACAAGGCTTGAGAAAACCAAACAACAAATCAAAAAGCATATTCTCCGATATTTATTGGCACAGTGAGTGGCTACCTCTTGAAGAAGTGTTTGAGGCATGTTGTCTGGTGGTTTTGGGGGTTTGGGTTTGTTGGCGTTCTTCATGTGTTGTGCTTTTGGTGTTGGGCAGGCGTGATCCACAGAGAAAACTGTTGGATATGGTGTTCTTTGCTTTCCCGGGCTTGGTTTGTCGGCGTTCTCGAGTTGTTGTTTTTAACATTGGAGTAGCGTATCCCGCAACTACAGCAGAACAAATACACTTGCCAAACAAAACTGAAAAGCATGCACTGCCACAGTCCCCTGTCCTGTGCAACAATTGGAGCTCGTATAGCCATGGTTTACCTACCGAGTTTCATCATCTATATTGGATCAACCATTTTTCTGGGAGTTGAAGCCTGGTGAGTGAGTTTTTTGCCAAGGACGCGCCAGATATCGACTCGGAGACGCCCCTGCGGAGCGCTGCGGAGCATGGCCACTTCGAGGCCCAGTCGGGCGCCAACGAGCTCAATGCGAAAAAGAAGCTGAGATGGTTCCACTACCCGCCAAACCACTCATGGTTGTTGTTGGGAAGCATTATACATTGTTGCTTATTGTGGTTTAGTGGCAAATCCCCACTTAACTGCTAAAGATTAGATTTTTGCTCGCCGTCCAACGTCAACCAAGGACTGCCCCAGTGGTTAAATGGGACATACAATCACTATATAGCCACTATAAGCCTCAACCTCCCAACCTCGCTAGTTTCCTCCAATTGGGAATCAAACATAGAGGACCCCCACAATGATTCGTTTCCGTTCAGTGGTGCTGTGAACAGGGTTTCGTCAACAGTCTCACACGCACACAATGTTTTTTTTTTTCAGTGGCCCCCTGAAAGATGGCAAAGGTGTTCTTTTTGCTTCCCCTTAATCAAAAGGGGGTCTGCCATTGCGACAGTGTGCCTTGATGGGGCTGCGCTTTTTTTGGGTTTGGTTCCTTCGGGTTTCTGTTTCCCACCTCCCACCTCCTCTCCCATTGATACATGCTCTCATTTGAAGAATATATAAGTTGTATTATTCCTTTGAAGGGAATCCATGCTCGACATATTCCTATTTTGCCAGACGTATGAAAGCTTGGAAAGTGGTTGTTGTTTTATTCCTCCAGACTTCGGCTCTCGGCCCGAGCCTCCCAGCGGTTGAGTTGGGTCAGCAGAAAGCGGGCACACCCTTGCCATGGATCCTCGCCTTTTTGGTCCCATCGATGTCAGGGTGGGCCAATCTGTTTCAGGGGTCTTCCAGCTTGGGGAAGTTCATGATGGCTGGCAACACGGCTTCAGGGTTCCGGACGGTCGGCCCATTTGCGTTACCACCGTGCTCAGATGAGGAAGGTCGTTTCTCTGTTTACAACCTGCAGGTGGACGTTCTTCTGCCTCTCTGGCACTTGACACGCACAGCCGACACCCAGATCTTCTGCATCGACCGTGACGCTTTTGCCTTCTCCCCTCATGTGGTTGAGCTTTGTGCCGGCTTTGGGGGTATGGGCATCGGAGCCTCGCATTTGGGTGGACAGTTCGTTTTGTGCGTTGACCACAACAATGTTGTTTGCAATCACCTGGCGGCCAACCATGCTCGTGTGTTGAAGCTTGATTTGAACCATCCTGCAGCAGCACAGCAGATACACCAGGCATGCGGCAACACAGCGGCCACATTCATGCTCGGGCTTCCTTGCCAACCCTACTCCAGTCAGGGCAAGAGACTCGGGACACTTGATCCCCATCACCTAGATGTTCGCAAGGCTCTCAGCTCCTTCGCATCTGCCATGAACTTTGATCTACTTGAGGTGGAGCTTGATCTTTGCTCGCCATGGCCATGCAGGCGCTAAGCAATGGCACACTTCAGGCCTTCCTTCTTGGCCGCACTCCTCGCTCTTCACCAATGTAGTTCACTGTCCTTGCAACAGATGGGGACGGACCGATCCAGATTCAACTTGATGACACCCCGCAGCCCGCGGGGTCCAACACATGGGCAGTGGATGGGGTTCCCACCCATGTCACCGAACAGGCCAACGACGTCATCACCGTTGATTCGACCCTGGTTCCTGCAGCCGGCGCTCTGGCTACACAACGCAAGCACTTCACATCTCCCAGTGAGGTGCAGGATCAGCTTCAGCTTCTCTGGGCCCCTCGATGGCTCCACCGTCCGCCAATTTTGCTCGGCACTACATGCCGACTGGCACCTTTTCTGTGTCGCCCATCACTGCCAATCAATGGCGCCGGTCCATCAAACGATTCCGCCAACGTGCCGCACGAGGCTGCGATGGCTTTGATCGCTGTGATCTGCTTGCCATGTCTGACTCCCATGTCAGCACACTGCTTTCACTTCTCCACTCTGTTGAGGAGAACGAGGATACTGGTTGGCCTGTGCAGCTTCTTGAAGAGTTTGTTCTCTCACTTGCCAAAGAGGAGGCCCCACATCTTGCAGTGCACTACCGTCCCATCGTGCTGCTCTATCGATGCTGGGCTTCTCTACGCTCTCGCCAGCTGCTTCGCTGGCTGGCCCAACTGGTGCCTGAAGATGCCTACGGGTTCATCCCCGGCCGGGAGCCTGCCCAGGTCTGGCTTTTGCTACAGGCTCAGATCGAGGCCACTATTGAGTCACAGCATTCGCTCTGTGGGCTCTCCTCCGACATAGTCCGGGCATTCAACAACATCCGGAGAGCTCCTCTCTTTGAGCAAGCAGCCCATCTTGGCATCCGGCTCACCTCTCCCTGGAAGAAGTTCCTGTCAACTTTCAGGCGGCGCTTCTCCGTTCACGGCCAACTCAGCGATGCTTACACCTCCAACACGGGGTTTCCGGAAGGATGTCCATTGAGTGTTGCCGCCATGGCAGTCCTCAACTGGAGCATGCACGCTTACCTTGCTCGCTTCAACCCGGAATCCAGACTCCGTAGCTTCGTTGACAACCTCACCATCACGGCCACCGCCGCACGGCAAGTTGCAGGGGCCTTCTGCACGCTTCGGACGTACTTGCACCTCTGGGGGCTACAACTCGATGAACAGAAGACCTACACCTGGGGCACCACCGCTGCCACTAGGCGTGAAGTCGGGGTCCTTCGATTTCCCGTCCTTCCGGACGCTCGAGAGTTGGGTGGCACAGTCTGCTACGGCCTGCAGAAGCGCAACCGGCTCTTCATACAACGCTGGGCTGGGCTTGAACCCTACTGGAGGCGCCTTCGGCGCTCTCGGGCCCCCCTGGCCCGTAAACTCTTTGCCTTGCCCGCTGTCTTCTGGGCCAAGGCCCTGCGTGGCGCTGGCGGCACTGTCTTCAGTGACCGTCATCTTCAGAGGCTGCGCGCTCAAGCAGTCAGGGCCCTCCAAATCCAGCACGGTGGGTCTAACCCACTGCTTCGGCTTTCTTTGTCGCGCCCTGCCACAGCCGATCCGGGCTACTACCAGCTTCGGCGCTCAGTCTTCGACTTTCGCCGTATTGCCCTCAAGTCACCAGAGCTTCTGGACCACTGGAGCGCCTTCTGCAACGCCTTTCTCCAAGACGCAGCAGCTCTTTGAGCTCATCGGCTGGAGTGTGCTACTCCCGCCTGTTGTTCAGGACCACGATGGGGTTGGGCACAACCTGCTTGGCCTTGATCCCACTGCTCTCGAGCATCTGCTTCATGACGCTTGGGCACAATTTGTTGCTCGGCAGGTGCGACATCGCAAGGCCCTTCAACAGCTACAGGGGCTTGACCTCGAAGCCATACAATGGCTTTGATCGCCTTACGCCGCACCACCTCGCCATCACGATGAGCCTACACGACGGTTCATTCTTAGCCCCTTCGCAACAGGCTAAATTTGACAGCTGCCAGACCGGGCTTTGCCCTAGCTGCGGCACTCCAGATGAACCCTCACACTGGCTGAACTGCCCCCGCTTCGCAGACATTCGTGCCGGCATGCCTGAGCTCACTTCAGCAGCCCACACAGCCGCAGCGCCACAGCATTTCACACAGCATTTGTTGGTCGCCAGGTCTCCGCATGCAACATTGTTGAAGTCATACTTTGCCACTCTTGAAGACTCTGTTGAGTTCCTCTCCGAGCCGGGCACTGGACCTCAACATTTGTTTACGGATGGGAGCTGCATCCGCAATTCCCGACCTTCGCTTGCGGCTGCCAGCTGGGCAGTTGTCAATGCCAGCACCGCAAGACCGGTTGCTGGTGGACCACTTCCTGGTTTAACACAAACAGCTGCGCGTGCAGAACTGTATGCCATTGTCGCCGCGGTTCACTGGGCCTTTTTCCATGATCAGCCCACTCACATTTGGAGCGATTCGCAAGAAATGGTCAGGTTCGTCGCTGAGCTTTTGGAGCAGCCACAGATGCATCTGGACAGCTCCTTGGGGCTCTTTGACCTGAAAGCTTTACTTGCCGAACTCTTGCAACAATGCAACACTGGATTGGTTCACATACATTGGATTCCTTCTCACTTGGATTTCAGTTTGTGCACCAGCGAGCTTGAGGAGTGGGCTTGCCTTTGGAATGATGCAGCTGACAGAGCAGCCGGCATATGCAATCGCAATAGGACCGCTGCCTTTTGGACTTTGGAACAGCGAATCCCAACGCTTCGGCCTGGTTACCCACCAGCTTCGAGTACATCACAATTTCTTTTGTGCCGTTTCAGAAAGGCTTCAAGCTGGACAGGAAACGCCTGAACCCGCTGCCCTTCCTTCTACGGATACCGACTGGGGCCTGGTTGTTGGCTAAACAAGTTTGGTTGAGGCCGCTCCGATCAATTGGGGACCGCTTCACGAACTTCGCACTCCGGCCTACCCCATTGCACTGGTCAGGTTTGTTGCCCAAAAGATTGACGCTTTTGATGATGCTGAGCTCAGCTTTTTGCCTATCAGCTACATTGAGCTCACCCTTCTTTTGGCTTGCACCTCGCGATTGCGCCTACCCAGGCAGAACAGTGATGACATTTTTGACCCTGCATGTTTCTTTGCCCGGCCGTCCATTGCCACCTGTGTCGGACACATCAAGTCCGCCATCCGACACTTCTGTACAGCCTTTGGCCTTGGCCATTACCATGCTGGGCAGCTGTGTCGTGCCCACAGCCACATTTACATCCCGACTGATGGTATCATCCTCAGGATTTCGGGTGAACTTAGGGATGCCGCGATCTCACGTGTTCTCCGTGCCACCAATGGCCGGGGGATTCGTCGGGTTCACGATTTCGCCCGTCCCATTTAGGCCACTGTGCCTACACGACGTTGGCGCCGCACCGCTTAGCTGTGCGCGTCTGAGCTCGCGCAAGTCCGAGATATTCCTCCAGACTTCAGCAAATGGTTTACTAACACCTGCGTAACCCTGGCTCTTTAATTTCAGACACACCCAAATGGATGCCGAGATCTGCGGGCCTCGGGCAAAAACCCGCGGCCAGGTGGCCCGCGCCCTGCTGGCCGCGCGCGCGGACTTGGAGCTGCCCGGCGCCGAGGGCCGCGCCCCGCTGCGGGCGGCGGCGCAGCACGGGCACCACGAGGCGAGACGCGCGTGGCTCGGATCGGAGCGGAGCGGTGGCCGGAAGAACCCGGGAAGGCGCCTGGGTGGTGGGGGGGGGGGGGGTTTGTTGGTTTTGGATGACCCAGAGATTTTTGGTGGTTCGGGAACACAGGGAAATAGACCCAGCCATTTTGAATGTTAGTTACCAAATTCTGAGAACAAACCCACATATGCGCTTGTCTTGTTTAAGGTTGGACCCCTCCCCCCCCAAAAAAATGGCGCAACGGTTTTCCTTGTGGTTTTCCTTCAATATCGAAAGAGCACTGGAAAAAATACACCCATCTCGGGTTTTTTGGAGGCCAGTGTCCATTCTCGGTGGATTCGCCTAGGGACACCTTCAAAATGTCGGTTCTCGGTTTCCCTTGGCCACAAAGCGGGGGGGTGCCTTCGTGATTCCTGGGGAATCAACCCACTTTGGTACAGAAAAGGGCGAGGATGTTCCACAAAGTTTCGGTGGCTCATCCGGAGAATTCTAGGGGTTGATGTCCCATTCTTTTCATCCATCGTTCTTTCCAAAAGCCAGCCGTTTCCCCTGGGAGTTTGATGGTTTCTTGAAAAAAAACGATCCCTGGAAAAAATGGGGAAGGTAGCCCTAGAATAATGTCGGCCCCCGACTCTTGCCTCATCGCCAACCGGACGTCACGGAGGTGGTGCAGTGCCTGCTGGCGAGCCGCGCGGCTCTGGACGCTTCTTGCGAGAACGGGCGCACGCCGCTACGTGCTGCCGCGGAGGCGAGGCGTTGGTCGAGTGAATTGGGCCATGGCTGGAGCACCCTGTCCACGTTGCCACTGACTGAGGGGTTCTGGAAGGCCAGGTGTTTTTTTGAAATGGACCCTCTGTGGAAAGCCCATTTTAGTGGATCTATGTGCTTTGTAGCTGCAAGCAAGCAGGTTAGCAAACCTGGCTATGAGTCACAGAAAGGGACTTGCCATGAACATCATAAGCTGTTTGGAACATCTTGGAACTAGGGCAACTGCTCTAATTGATTTACCATACGGTTGTGAGCTCGCAACGTGGGCTATTGCCAGAGTTACTGCTCGCTGACTCAGAGTAGCCCATGTTTGCTTACTCTCCTGATTTGTCACAGAAAGGAAGGGGTTCAACTTGCCGAAATGTTTCAACTTCGTCATGGAGGTAAGTGTTTGTTCTTTTTCACTTTTTCATTTTCCGAGGGAAGTTCCTTTCCTGGTGTTCGTTTTGATGTTTTGGTTGAAGGGTTCCAGAGTCGACCGACCCCAGAAGGTTCCTGTACTACATTTACTACATGTACGCCATTTGTGTTGCCCGTCGCTAGTGACTGGTGGAACACCACCCTGAGATTACACCTCTGGACAACACTGGTCCAGTGGCATGGTTGGGCAAAACTGGATCTCAAGGGAATCGTCATGAATGACCCATTCCTGCGTTGGATTTTGGGATGGATAAAACCCATGGACAATGCAATATGGCACCTGTGGCACAGGATTTTCTCACTGTATCACAGATTGAGGGACTCGCCTCTGTGAACCAATTCTCCCTTTTGCTTTACATAGATCATTTGGCCCGTGCGTCTCTCCTCTTGCAATGGACCAATCAGCCGTCGAGTGAATCTTGTGCCAATGTGTCAATGTTTGCTTTCCAAGACCAGAACTTACCCCTCAGAAAGTCCTTGGGCCCGCCCCGAGACGAGCTGAGCGCACGCTCAGGCGGGCCAGCTCGTCTCGCGGCTGATCTCCGCCAAGGCCGACTCAACTAAAAGCGACGAGGGCATGACGCCGCTGCATGCCGCCGCGGGCAAGGGACACCTCAGGCGCGGCCAAGGAGAAACCAGGAAGTGTGTGGTCTCCAAAATCATAGGGTAGACGAAATGGGTATGGACCAAAATTAAACCACCAAACAACTGCAAGTTTTAGTCCATGCTTCCACAGGGTTCCACTTTGGGCACCTAGTTTTGACCCACAGCCAAATATGAATCTGAAAGTTTGGTTGTGTCATTCCCGCAAAGTCGTGGGAATGATCTGTTCAGGAGATATATGGAGAACCCTTGTTGGCCCATAGCGGAATCAAAGCTGCCAAGCAGTGGTTGGAAAGTTATTGGCAGGCAAGGCTATGACCTACCTGTAAGTTTCCCTGGGAGGAGTTAAGTTTTGTACTCGTGAGATCCCAGCTGGTTAACCACTCACAAACTTGGCCGAACGTCCCAGCTCAGACTGGGGCGGGTGGTTTCTGTTGGGTTTTCACTAAAACAAATACATCCAAAGGGGGTTTGCCATTTGAGACCATCCCAGTGTGCAATCCCTCTTTCAGATGGCTCTGAAAGGAAGCCCAAAGAACAGCTACCACTTGGGTTCCCGAAATTTAAGACACACCCAACTGGAAGCTGACCCCATCTGGAGGGCTTTTCATGTTCGCCTGAAGTTCCTGGCTTGACAGCTTGTCAAATATGTCCCAGACCTTCAGTGCCCTATTATGTTCCTCGGTTTGGAGGGAGTCTCCTTTTAAAGTCAACTACAGAAGAAAGGGCCATTTGATTTCCACAGGTGTCCGGTGTCCTCTTGGTGTGCTTTGGGTGTTTAACATCTCCAGGGAGTCCCTGCTATGGCCGTATGCCCGGCGCGGGCAGTGGAGTACTTTTTTGTCTATTCCAAGCGCAACCTTATGCAACAAGAACAACTAATGTAAGTGCAGCATGCTCCTTGTTTCCCGACTTGGATGTTCCATCTTTGAGGGTCTTTGGGTTGTTCTTAGAGGGAACCCAATAAGGTTTGCGGCGCCTGTTTTTGTTTTAGCAAGCAGAGAGCCCAACAAATCATCAAAGTTCGTGCCTTTTTCTGAGTAGGACAACCACAACGGATCAGTATGGTCCTCCCGATGAATCCAAAGTTAACATTTGGCTTGGCGGTTCCCAGCCATATCCGTAAACTTTTAGACTCTAGAGAGGGATTTAGGGCATACTTTGCAGAAAAGGGATCAACAACTTCCATTTGCTTAAGAATATTTTTTATTTCCCCCTGGTGGCTTCAAAGGGAAACCATCACTACTGGAAGTATTTGTTTTTGTTTTTTTCCAGGGGACTTCAGCAAATGGAGGAAGCACTAAGTTGAAAAATCGAACGACGAAAGTCCAAGGCTCCTGCCGCTTCTGACGGACACCTTGGAGGCCCGCGACCACCTTGGCGCCACGCCGCTCTGGCGCGCGGCGCGGGCGGGGCAGGCGGGGTCCAACAGCCTGCATCCAGTTGAGCCTCAATCAAAACCCGGGCAGATGAAGGTTAGTAAGGGACAATCCCAGCCATAAATAGGTGCGGCCGCCTTTTTAATTCCTTACATGGTTCTGGGTTCACCATTTTTGTGCCAGGTTTTGATTGTGACTCAGTTGCTGTTTCTTTTTCCAAGGAACTTTCAGGGTAAAGTGCTTGGACACAAAGTCAGCATCTTGACTATCTTAGAGATGGTTCAACAAGGCTCGAAACAATGGTAGTTTCTGAACCATGGGGTCCGAAGCAGTTTTTAACCACCTAGAATCCACAAGGGGACAGACATGTGTTGGTTCAAGCTGGGGTTGTGTGAATATCGGTTTGTTCCCAGTCCCGCAATACCAGGGACCTCTTCTTGGGAAGGCCTTCCAGTATCACAGGAGTCCCAACAAACCTGACGCTGAGTTGTGTAAACGGAAAGCCGGCCAGTAGCCCTTGAAGGAATCCAGCAGGGGTGAGACATAACTTTGATTGCTTGCTCAACATGTTTTGACCGCCTCAGCAATCCTCCCGCAAATTGTATTTCTTCAGGTGTTACCCAATTTGTTGGTTCCCCTAGTGGAATCCTGAGGAATCCTGACGATGGCTGTATCATTTTTCTAGACCCTTGTCGGCGCGTTCCCTCGCTTGTGGAGTTGAAAGTAGCTTGGAGCGGTACGTGTGTGGAAAAAGGACCAGGTGTGAAAGGTCTATGCTTGAGATACCACAGGAATCCCTTGCTCTGGGAATTCCACATTCGTCTTCAGGGTTCGGGTCAAAGCTTTCCCAGGTGGAAGCAGTGAAGTTTCTGGCAGAGCATGGCGCAGACACAGACTGCTTCGTCAACACGGGCCAGACGGCGCTGCAGGCTGCGACGGAAAGATGTCACTCTCAGGTTGTCAACTTTTTGAGAGAGGCCGCGGATGACGTCCGCAAGCCGGCCAAGCGTTGCCGGCTGAGCGACCAAAGCGTCGCCTTTCGCTGTGCGCAAGCGGAGCCATGGATTGAAAAATGTGAGTGCTATGGACCACGTGCACAGAACGAGCTCACGAGCTGCGGGCAAAACAAACTCGCCATTGATGAAGGGCCTGAGGAGTGCCCAAATTGACAGTTCGTGAAATACAAAGCAATTTGTCACAATATGGGTGTCAAGCTTACTTGCGAAGCTTTAACAACGATGAATGCGAGTGAACAGTAGTCTACGCACCGTTGTTTAACGAGGCCGAGTTTCGGAACGCAGTCTTTGAGCCAGGTTTTTGTCAGTCGCGTCTGACTATTCTTGGATATATACACCCTATATACACAATTCCGCCAGATATAGCTCCAATGCGGGGAAAGCCAACAATTGCTCGTCTCCCTCCTTTCGATTCTCATTGCAATACAGTAATCCCAAAAGGGTTTCCCAAAGAGACTCCCACATCGCTGACTTTTGCAGCCACATGCTTCGAGACATAAACACCTCACAGCCTCGCAGGAGGAATGATCGGGCTCTCCAAGCGGTCGGAAGAGACGTTGCCGCTGTAAACCTGCGAGATTGAGCACATGCATCTTGGAAGCCGGAATGTGGCGATGTTTTGACCAGGATTCCATGTTTGGGCTTGCCCAAGGGCTCAAATCCAGGGTTCCTCTGTTTGGGGAAGTGAGCCATCCCCTGTGTTTAAGTCCACTTTGGGGCTTCACCAAAGATTCCCGTGTTTGCATTTCTCAGGTAAACACATCGCCGAACTTCCGCACGGACTGGCTCCTTGCGCGCCCTGTCGATCAAGCTACATGCGAGATGGTCGACCAGGTCTGCGCCTTTCGACGACGATGTGAACTCCAATGGCCCTATCTGCAAACCGCGACCTCACCTTGTTTTGCGACTGCCATGAAGGTGCCTTGCATAGGGTGCACAGACGAGTTTTGGAACACTGTCCTTTTGGAAAGGGCCCTGTGCACTTCCACGTGGGAGGGTGTTTCAGGTCGGTGAATGATTCAGAATGATCCAAGTGGCTGCGACCATTCGAACTGGCTAGCCGCCCTCGCCTGGGGGCTGTTTGGATTCGGCAGACTGGGGCTATCAGCTTGCCTACCTTTGCCACCTTGCGTTTTCACGACGTGCTGCGAGCAAAAAAGGGAAGTTTCGAGAGGCTGCGAAATGCCACGTTTGCATCGGCAGACCCAGCTGCTTGGCCACTTTTGGACCTTCTGGTGATTAGGGCGATTGCCTCAATGCGGTGTTCGTGTGTTCCTGGCTTTAGGGAACAACGCAGTGAATAAGGGTTAAGCTTGCAGTCTGCAGTTCTTTTCTCCGGTTCCAGATTCGCATTAGTTCTTGATAGCCAATTCAATTCCAAACCCTTCATTGCTCGGTAAAATATTCTTGTCTCCGCGGTTTCAAGCCAGTCCCTTATATAAGTTTTTGGTTTTTAGGGTTTAGTGGGGGTTTCCATTTAACCCACTCAAAGTGAAACTCTTAGCAGGGGATCCGAAAACGGACAGCCCAGTTATCATATTGCCAATCTCCGATTCGGCGTTTGGACAACACACATGGCGCCGAATTTTCCGACTCGGCACCTGCATGGATCGGGTATGGCGCTGAGATGGAGAACAACGGGTACCCCAATGTGGGCGTCATCGGCCCTCCGGCATCACCCTCAGTGACTCAGACGCCAGGTGTCTGGCTGGGCCGAAAACGTTAGCTTTTCAGCTTGGGAACGTGACGCGAAGAGGTCAGACAAAAACGTCCCCGCAAAAAAAACTTTCAAGATGCTTAGGCAGATGTTTAGACCTCTTGAATGCAGCAGGTGCAGCAGTTTTGAGCAAGACTTGGACACGGAAACAAAGCACATGTCTAGTTGCTTATGCCTATGATTCAGATTCAGGTTGTTCAATTTGGATTGTCGGCTTCTCGGGAGGGGCACACTCAGTTGTAATCACAAGGGCATAAATAAGAGATACTTGCATTATCATGCCGACGGAACGCAGTGGCGTGCACGTCCACGTTGTTCTTCGATGGATACTTATGTATCAAGGACACAACAAGCGTGGTGTTCCTGGAAGCATGGGCAACTGATGGGCAGAAGCTTTACTTGTTGGCTTGTGGTTCTGAACAAATGGCCATGTCAAGTGAACGTGAGTTGGATGGGTTCCATAGTTTTGATCAATTGGTTAGCTTTGCGCAGTCACTCCCCTGCTTTTCAGTTTCCAACCCCCCAACCGGAGATCGTGATACAAACCAAAAGCTCACCAATTCGAGGTGTCACTAGGTCGTTCAAGCCCAGGCCACTCAGAATCACCGCGAGCGCGAGAGCGGACAAGGCTTGAAGTCGATTTGGGCTGGTCTGCAGTCGAGGTTCGGCCGTTGTGTCTGTGTGTGTGTGTGTGTTTGTCTGGGTTTTGGCTTTTGTTCATTTGTGTGCGTGCGTTGGGATTCAATCAATACACAATACATTGTTATTTGTGGCTAGCTGCTTTGCTAAGCCTTTATGAGTGGCAAATACAGTATCCAGTGCTTGCAGGAAGTTTCAACACAACTGCTTCAAGTAGGAACGGATATATCTGCGAAGATCGCAGGTTGGCAAGTAACGGGCCCTGGCGGCGATGCGAGCGGCTCGTTTGTCTTGAGGGCAACCGTTTTTTGGGTGGTAAAGGAAGGCCAAAAGGGAAGCCAACCAGTTGGTATGTTCCCCTTGGAGACACACCCAAGTCTAAAGTATGAGTCAACATGTGACGGTCAGGGAGCCTGGACGGGACGGGGGGGTGGTTTCGAGAGCTTGTGGGAAGAGTTGCATTTCAATACCAAGAGCAAGATTGGACGATATGCAGGGTCTGTAGGATCTATGGTGATGAACTCATGAGAGACCAATCGCGGCGCGAATGGCCCTATATTCCTGCTTGCGCTTTCGGTCAGCATTTTCATGTGCTAGCTCCTTCTCCGCAGCCACTCTCTCGAAGTCTCAGCCATCTGAAAGTTGCTAGGCTGAATCGTGCATGGACGCCGCATGTCTTGATGTCAGTTCAGTGAGGGTTTGAGCTTTTGAACTTGTTGGGCAGTTTCCACAATAGGGACCTCTTTCTTAGGATGTTGTCCAAAGCGAAACCAAAGAAGAAGCAGTTGGTTTGATTTAGATACTGCGTTGTTGGCCTGTGCTGAAGTGTGGGAACCAAACAGCTTATGACTGGAAATGTTCTTGTTGATTCCCAGGCACTTGCGAGATTCATAAATCCGGCTTGCCCTGACGTTGTGAGCTGATAGTGGCTTCTCTGACATGAGCTTTGTTTGGACACTCTTTCACAGCACGGAGCAAAAGAACAGTTCTGCCATTTCACAGCCTGCCACGAATCTCAAACACGCCGTGAATTACCAGTTGGGTGAATTTCGGCCAAGTCCAGGAAGGACATCTTACCATAATTATCCATAATTAGTATTTGTTGTTTGCCAAGTTTGATTCCCAAGTCTTACAACCAAGACGATTGCGCAACAAACAGGTCTCAGTTGCGCATCGACTGAACGCTTCCCATGGCGCTGCTGAATGCGCCGCCTTTGCCTCTCACCGCTGGCAGCGAGCCAGCGGTTTGTGGGTTGACGAGGCAGGGTCCTTATACCCCTTTCCGGGCGGTTTAAAGGCATCTTGGGCCAATGTTGTCTGAGCTTCCCTGAGGGAGCTTGCGTGGCCACAAATCGCTTGGTCCCCTTTTGGAATGCGTTTGTCAGGGAGCCAAAAGAATACCCAACATGGCAAGGGAGGGCCTCCCTCACGAGTTTGGCTCTTGCGATTGTTCATCGTGGCACCATAGGGTGCCCCTTTCAAGTTAACGTCTGCTGGCGTGCCCTGATGGTGTACCCCTTAAGGTATCAATGACTCATGTTCAGTCGGAGGGGATGGTTTAGTGAGTTGTGCGCACAAGCCTTTTGTGCGACAAAAGCGAGTCCATGACATTAGCGGTCAGGCAGTGACTCATCATTGCACCACCAGGTACTTCACACATTATGCTTACGATCATCTGGAATACCTCTTGAACTTGGTAACATGTTGAGATCCACTACATATGGTGACATGTTGAGATCCACTACATATGGGGCCAGATTCGCATATATACACATGCGCACAAATATATGTATATATATATATATGTATTGTTTTGGTTGGGGAAAAAGCTGAGGTAGACATGTTTGTACCCCTCGGATTGAAAGGTTGGGGGCATGCTCACTGCCAAGTGCCATGACCGAGGCTGAGGCTGAAGCCATGAAAAAACGGGTTGCCTTCTGTTGGAACAGTTGCCTTTAGTGGTAGGTCGCCTGCTCGCGTTGCCCTGGAATCTGACTGAGGGATCATGGTTTGCTCGAGTTTTTTTTGGGATCCGATGGCTTCCACGTGAGCAGGAGGGTATTTGATGATTTGAGGAAACAGTATCTAGAGGCTTGAGGTATTTAGCAATTCATATATTAGTTACCTGTCTATTTTTGGGTCAGTGCTTGGTGGGCACTGGGACCCCTACTAAGAATCCTCATTGTTGCTTTGTCGCTCCTTGAGCTTGTATCACGTGAAAACCACATCTGCAAACATTGCGGAAGAACCATCTAGCTTTGCCTGCTTGTGAGATAAAACCCACACCGCGGGATGTGAACATGTGAGCAGAGCCCGTTCTGTTTAAAAGAGTTGAAGTGCTAAGGACTGCAAGTATTGGAGAAGAAACACAACGCCCACAAGTACCCGTTTCATGTCCAGGAAGCTTCCCTTGGAAGACCAAGTTCACACATCCCCTTGCTAGCAAAATTGAAGCTGCATGAGGATTTGTGTTTCTTGAGATCGTGGACTACAGCGAGGTGCGGCAACGGCTGTGGGTTTTTGGTTGCCACCTCCGCCCTAGCAATCCGAGAAACACTTTCTGGGCCAGGCGCACCAAAGATCTTCCGCCGTTTCCAGCCGTGCCCGGGCAGCTGGCGGCAGTTGTGTCACTCGGAGCATCGAATTCAACCGAGTTGTTCAGTGGCATCGTTTCCTGCCGTTTTTTGTTGGAACCTCAAAGCCAGCAAAGCCACAAACAAGGCAACATGAGACCTTTGCAGTTGGTTTTATCAGTTGTTTTCATGGGTAGAGATGCTGGTTTGCAGCTCTGATTGAGCCAACAGGTCCCCGCACTTGGGATACGTCCCGAGATTGAACCACCCCTTGCAATGGATTAGAGAGAGACCACATGGGGCACCCAGCTTGGTGCCACTTGGTTTTTGGAGACAAGACGATATCACCCTATTGCCATATTCCAAGCTGTAGCTTAGACGGCAGTTGAACCACAATCAGAGCCTGATGAAGCTTCAATTTGGGACAGTCCCAACTAGAACTGAGTGATGCCGCTGTGATAAATTACATGGTGTTGGGTAAGCACCTTTGACAGCAGGTTTTGGCTATGTTTGGGTTGACCCCACATCTCGGACCTTTGGCCGGTCCGACAATGACTTGCTGAGACCTGGGTCCAGGTTTCGATATGATCAACCGACCAGTGCCACTGTGGTATCAGTTTGAAAGGTACTTCATCGGTTCTTAAGGCGGTATTATCGAATGTTCAGCACATGGCAGCCAACATCAAAGAGCTTGAGGATCCATACTCCAACTATATCCCTTTGCTTGTATACGGTCCAGTAGATGTCCAGGACAGAATTCCTCGTGGGAGTACCCCTCCGTCAAATCTGGCCAACTCAGGGGCTACAGCTATTTGCGCTGGCGCAAAGCTCGCTGCGTAGCAAGGCAGGGGCTGCCGATTATGCCGAGGTCCCTTTGTACCATAGCTCTACTAATTAAGGGTTCGGCGTTGCCGCATTTCCATTCTTGTGCCTGGCATGCGTACATTGCATATAGGTCGGTCGAACAAAGAGTAATAACGATGGTGATAGCGACGACTGGGTTGGAGCACCCCGGCGCAATGTGTGCGCTCTGTTGTGTTGATAAGTATGTGTCCATTGCGAATGCCGCCAGGTCGGTGTTTAGGATATGCATGCAAGTGTGTTGAGCAATTATACAACAGGTTCTCCTGTGTTGGAGCTGGGCAGGGCCGAATCTTAAAATGACAGGCTAGCTGCGCCCGGAACTCCGGTTAACCAATTCTGCGAGCTCTACTCCTCAGGGCCATAGTGGGAATACCTTTATGGCCATCTTGTGGGAACCCTCATTCGGGGTTGAGCTCAGGAAGGTTTTCATAGTTGCTTGATTGAGCAAATTGATAGATGAGTGCAAGACACCCACTCACGCGCGCACACACACACACACGCATAATATATGAGGGTCGACCAAATCCCCCTTGTGGCTTTTTTGGTAAGGACTGAATACGAAAGCATATTCGGTGTTACGGCGCTATGATTACGGAAGACAGCGGAAGGGCGAGCGGAAGTTTCGCGGAACGTTATATGTGTTATCATGAGATGAAGCCCTACTCGTGTGCTACACGAGTACTGAAAAGTTGTGCTGCTTGAGCTGGGGCGGCTCGTGCTCTCTGCTGGTACCTGGGATGTTTCAGCTGGGCTGTCAAAGTCAAAGTGTGCTTCATGTTGTGAACTGTACTGAGCTGAGAATGATGCTTGCATCATACTCGGCAGCGCTTTTGATTGCCGCGGCAGAGTTTGTGGAAAAGCGGGAAAAACGAAATGCGCGGTCCGATATATATATATATATATATTTATTTAGATATATATATTTTTTATTTAGTAATTTTTATAGCGCGCACTTCGGACAGCGAAAAGCATTCTGGCATCATACTCGGCTGTCCTTTTGATTCCCGCGGTAGACTTTGTCACTACTTTCGCGATCCGAAATTCGCTTCCGTCTATTGCTCTTGCTCTTTGCTGCTTCCGTTCCCCTTCCCCAAGCTCCGTTCCTATTGCTCATGCTTCTTGTTTGCGCGCGCAGGCGTCGCGTGTGCCAGGGCTCCGAACGATACCAAAAACGATGCCGAAACGAAACCCATACAATTGCAGCTGTCGCCTTGCGCGGGCGCTGGCCCACCCGTCTTGTCTTCTAGCGTGAAATGTCGGATGTATCTGTTTTTCCGGTGCTGCGCCCGGGGACGCCGCAGTTGTAGCAGCGTGCTAACGCTCAAAACGATACCCAAAACGATACCAAAACGAAGCCCCCGGAACTGTGGCTGTCGCCGTGCGGGGGGCGTGGCCAGTTTCTTTATGCAGCGTAGCTTGTCGCTTGTTGTCGCTTTCCTGCCTCCTTCTCTTTCTCTGGTGTTCTGCTGCTCCGCTCGCTACGTTTGCTTGTCCTTCTCCCTCCTCTTGCTCGTTCTGCTCCTCGTCCCAGCCTCGCTCCATTCCCGCACTAGTTCTTCCTCTTAGCTTGCTTTACCGTTTCTTTACGGAAACCTACTTCTGCTCAGACACGTGCCGGCAAGTGTGTGTTTTACCTGCATCGCGGAAGTTCGCGGAAGATTTGCGGAAGGGCGAGGGGGAAGGCAGTTTTTGGAGCAAGGAATATTGGACAACCCTCATGTATGTGCAGGCTTAGCTTTGTGCAGCCAGCCACATTTGCACCAGGAAAGCCATCTGACATGTCGCTTGTTTTCGGGCACAACGTTGAGAGCAACCTGTTTGGCAGGTGGTGCCGGCCGACGCGCCGAGAGGCTGGGGATGGAATCTGCAGCACAAAGGTTCCCATCTACTTGTGATACAAAGCTGAGCTCTTTGGCACATTGGCGAGCTCAAAAAAACCGGTTGTGTCGCCACCTGGTGCTCTCAAACCGGTGCTCCTAGCGACTGATGCTGGGTAGCATGGAACCCAGAGAAATGGTCCCTTTGGAACAGGATCCCCAGCAAGAAACGGCGCCTGGAAGACTCCAAAAAGGCAGGTGCATGCAGGAGGTTCCTTTACAACCGAGTTCTTTCTTGGTTCCATGTTTGACTAAGCGCCGGGGAGATGATGGGTTATGCATACCAGGCGCTGGCTTCGGCTTGTTCCTACAGCTTGCGTGTGCTCCTTCACTCCCGAAAGAGAATCTACCGTGCAACGTCACATGCAATTGGCTTGAAGCCTCGTTCTTAGGCGCATAAGAAATTGCCAGACCAGAAGAATAACGGACAGTCGTACTGCTCCCTGGTAGTCTATTGTTCATATTGGGAGGACACGCGTCGTCAAAATCCTAACTGTCCAAAATAACTGTTGATGAGGAACTCTTGACACGCTCGCAGGGATTGCTGACGCTGTTTTTGAATGTGGATGATCGTTCTTCGCTCCGTTTCAAGTATGCCTTTGTTGTTGGATCCATGTGGGATATTGCGTTGAGTGTGATTCAACAGCAAGCGACATGTGAACAATGGACAATACTTCCGGGGTATCGGTGGGCAATTGATTCCGCAAGCGGGCTTTTGTCGGTAAGATTGTGCATTGGAACCTGCTAAGTTGAGCCAATGCCGTTTTCCATAGGTTGACGCTCGTTGTGGGCTGTAGCACAAAATAGTCAGGTGTGTGTTGTACTAGCATGTTGGCCCCCAACATGGCTGCGGAGTTCCTTGTGGTGTCCCTTTACACCAATCCCCAAAAGGGTACCCTCAACAAAAAACACTCAATCATCTCCCACATCAGGAACAGACATGATGTGAACGTGATGTGACTGGTCGCATCGACAGTTGGGTAACAAGTGTGTGTGCGTGTGTTTCAATACCAATATGCATTGACCTGAGCGTCACTCAGTATTACTGTGACTAAACTTCTGACTGCATCCCACAAACCCTGACTTGTTTATTTTCCCCGTGTCCTTTACCGCGATCACATGTTTTGTCCGTGGCTTAGGGTGCGGTCTTCAAGCGACCGCGGAGTCCACAGTGGGATGGCAGGCGCCAACACAACTGACACATCCATATACGGTAATTATCACTTGGTTGAACGGTGGATGCCACCTCAGATTCAACTTGCAATCTTGTGTTTCATCCACCGAATCCTAGGATCGGCTCCTTGGCTCCTTACGAGGCCCTCCTGCTCTTCCCATTCGCGGACCCCGCCCACGCGGAAACGCTCAGTGACGCGAAGCCGCAGTTTGGGGAGATGCCAAGAAGCCAGCAGCGAGATATGGGCGTTTTGTGTTTTGAGTTGGCACCGAAGCCATTCTGAGGGGGGTCAGGAAAAAACAAGACCACCTCAGATGCCAGATCCGTTTGTTGCGTTGTCGTTGCTTTGCTTGCTTGTGTGTTGTTTCTCATTTTGGGAAATCTGAGGGCGAACCAGAGGGCGGGGATTAGGGGGTTGGGAGTGGCGGTAGGTAGGGAATGACCGAGACCGGGTGTTGGGAATGAACCGGAAGGGGATTCCCTTAAAGGAAAACACAGGGGACGGTTTATAGGGGTCATTCCCTCATCCCTGCCTATCGAACCAGCAATCCAAAGTCCTGGAGTTTGAAGCCACCGAGGACCTGTCAAGGGGCATCACGGGCGGCGACAAGGACGTGTACTACCCCACCTGGTTCAAGGGCATCTGGGAGGCGACACCGCCGGCCGAGCGACACCGCGGATTTGGTTGTGTCGGATGCACATGGCCTGGGTCCTTCAAAATGAACATTCTGAGGGTTCTCAAAGTTGCTGGTGGGGTGATAGTCCTTCAAACCACACCATTTAGAGGGTAATGTTGAGGATGTCTCTTCAATGGACCCAGGTGGCTGGCAAGTGACACGGCGTTGACAGATTATGCAAGCCGGATTCATAGGTGGGGCAACATGTCAAGGTCCCAGGTGTTGATTTCTCGAACAAACTATTTGGGTGCGCCATACTGTACTTGTTAATCCGCTCCAATTGCTGAATGCACCCCTGACATCGCCCTCTTTACTTTTAGTTGACTTAATACGAAAACCAATAGTCAACTTCTGAGAGCTGTTATTAGGGGCCGGGGGGGTACTTTCAGCACTTCCTTCTTTTAAACTGTAAAGTCAAATTGCAATTCGTAATGTTGCTTTCTCCTTTTAAATTTGATTTGACAACTCCAAAAAGTCCAAACAGTGCCTCGGGAAATTTCATACAAATCCCTCTCTCAGCAGATTGCAATTTTCATGGTTTTTGCGCTCCCCATTTGGTCGAGGACCGTAATAGAACCCGTGGGACCCTATTCATCAACAAGTGTTCCCCCAAAACAAAATCATAGGAGGGTGGGCTTTGACTCCGGTTTTGTTAATACTGAATAACTGCTCGCTGATTGACTCGGTTTGCTGTTGTCCTGCATGTCAAACGTAACTGTATGGGTTGATGGTTTTTGTGGGCCATTGTGACAAATTGGTCAAACAACCTTTTCAAGTTTGGAAGCCAAGCAGAGCATCTCCATGCCCGATGATTCGAGGCACTGCCTGGGAAAACATCGGAACACATATGTAAGACCTGAAAGTGTATCCGAGTTGTTCACGGCTGGCCATTCACGCAGAGCAAAGCCTGGTATTGCTTTTTAGTGCCTTCTTTCAGCTTCCAAGTCGGAGGGGTGCCCAACAAAAACAGAAAAACGAAAAGAAAAGACAGCAACGCCTTGGGGGTCACTTGATATGGTTCTCGCGAAAACACACTGTCCAACTCCACTTTGGATGGTTGTGGAATCGGAGCCCGGACATCAAAGACTTTCATCATCGGATCTCCAAATCGGATTTGCAATGCAACTGGGAATTGGATCCCTAGAGTGTCCCAATATTGCCTGTTTTACGGTTTTAAGCATCCTCTGTTGGATCTTTTTGGGGCCATTCCAAGTGAGCTTCCTTTATAGGTGGACCCCAAACTCCAACCGAGCCTCCTGAAACTATCTACAGGTGTGTTACAAAAGGTTTACTATTTCCCCCTAGATCACAGCTTTAACTTCTTGCACGTGCTGGGGACTCCTTTGGTTGGCCTTGGAGGGGAGCAAAAGGGAAATCCATTTTGAGCTTGGCGGCTCCCAGCCATCTCCTTAGCTTTTCAGCTTTTTAGTGTTTAGTGGGGATTTCCATTTAACCCACTCAAAGTTTAACTTTTAGCGAGGGATCTGAGGGTGGTTCTGTGAGGGTTCCCCTATTTGTACACAAGCCCCTTATGGAACCCAGGCATTCCCCAGTCGCTTCGCTCGCTCGCGTACCGCCGCATCGAAGCACAGGCCACCACGGAGCTGGTGGCGGTGGAAGTTCCCGAGAACTCCAAAGTCGAGGACGGCATGGCCACGTTTTGTGGCTGGACAGATGGGATGGACAGATGGGATCAGAATCCAACCGGTTGGCATGGAGGAAGATGGACAGAGTCCAACAGTTGGGATGGATGTTCAGCCCTGAGAATGGGAATTCCCAGCAGCTAAGTATAGTGCAGGATTTGGTCCAGTACTTTGAGTGGCCAAGGGAATCCAAACACAAAGTTCCATGGCGAATGCCACCCAACCCCCAACCCCCCCTCCCCCACCCAGCCCCCCCACCCAACCCTCCCACTCGGTATCATTCGATCGAGGACTCGGTGAAGAGGCAGCAGCAGCTGCTGGGTACCAAGCAGGCGGAAGCCCCGCCTCGCGGGAATCGAAATGGCTTGGTCTGCAGCTTTTGTTTGGCTGCTGTAGTGGACACACACACCACACACACACACACACACATTGAAGCTGCTTTCCTTGCCAAGTTTTTGCACGTGGGGATTGGTAGCCACGAAGATGTAGGGATCAGGTTGCGATGTGGGTAACTCTGAGTGTTGCTTTTTAGTGCTATCATTTGCTGGCATCGAAATGTCTGGAGAAAGGACGTGGGCGCCAACCGAACATACTCTGTAAACGCCATTGCTCCAATCTCAAGCGAATCTAATTTAGGTGTTTGGCGGGCGTTCTTAGGATGAGCAGTGGCGTGGCGTTTCGAAGCACCAGTGTTGACAAGGGTTGGAGGCTTCGAGGAGGAGACCCCTGAATTTGCACCCCAAGTTTCCCGGGGTCAACATTAGGAGTTCTCCTTTTGGACAGAATCAACCATACTCTAAGAGTGGCTCAACCGTGTTTGGAGAACAATCAGGTTCTAGGATGCAACTGGCTGTGAGCCGAAGGAAACTCCTTGGCATCCCATAGTCATAGTTTCAACCACTAATCGATATCACCGCAAGGTTTTCCTTGCCCAAGAAGTGGCGTGACCAGCTTGAGCATTTCGCAGCCGGCCGGCAGCAATTGAGACCTTTTGCCACTTGGACCAAGCGCCGTGGCCGAACATAGGCTGCGCGCAAAAAGGCGAACAAATATGTCAGCGGTTCACGCATTTTGGGGGACCCCATTCCACCCGTTTGTTCGGCGATCCGGCTGTGAAGCTTGTGAACGCAGGCAAGTCCGGATTTGGCGGGTTCAACTTGGGGCAGCCTGTGGTTTCCCAGAAAACAACCCAAAAAGGCTACCATCGAAACACAGACACGCCCAGACGGTGCGCATCGACCATTGTAGCCAGGCATGGCCGTGTTCCCTTTGCCACTTACTGTCTTACTGTGTAGGTCGATTTTGTTGGGTGTTGTACAGGCCTCGTGCAAGTACAGGTCAACATCCGGCGGCATTCAACTTCCCAGATGAGTCTCAGCGGCCTTGCCGCTATACGAGCCCTGGAATTCTGGGAGGAGACCACAGTCCTCAAAGTTTTTGACATCCCGTCGCTGGGATGCTCATGAGAGTCAATTCGATGCTGGCCCCAAGAAAGTCTCGCATCCGAAAAATCCCTAAGCCAAAATCGGATCCACATCCCTTCCCAGAAAGGCTCTTCAAGCTTCGAAGAACCTTTCCTTGAGCCTCCCTTCAGGCGGTCGAACGATACCCGCAGAAGTACATTGAGTACGAAGGCATGGGCCGGGGCGTGGCCAAACACCTGTGTTGCATGCACAGATACACTCATATTGGATATTGGGTTATGCGTTATCCATCTGCCCCCTCCCTCCCACTAACATGGCACCTGACGGGGGGGTCCCTACAAAAAGGAGCATGATCTTCCAGGTGCCCTCCCACAGCAGCGGGCGGGGCTATCCTTAGCGCGAGCGTCTGATTAGCCCCCAAGATCGAAGCGCAACGGCAAGCCCCGAGGGCCAAATGTGGGCAGGGAGTCCCTTGTGTCCGATGTGGGGGTTGATCACAAGGTCGGATGACCATTACGGGGGCCACCACACCGGATGATATTTGTCTCTTAATGGAAAAAAGTCACTCATGGTCCTTTTTTGGGGGCGAACGGAATATTGATCAACCCATATCAACCTCCATGTTGGCATCATGTTGTTGGAGAATCCAAGCAAATTCGCCTTTGCGGGGCGGCCCGAAGTAGCTACTGTTCGACCGAGGTTTCTTTTATGGCTTGCAGCCTTTGGTTCCGGAAAAACAGGCGTAGGCTTCTACGGGGGCACCTGTCTGGGCACATGGACATTTCCCTCATTGTGACAATCAAGCGGACTAACAAGTGCAGATGATATGTAATACTAGCAACCTCTGTGTCTTGAACGGGGCCTGGTAGTATGTTCCCGCCCTCCTGTGTGTGGGCAGCAGTGGATGTGCTGGGAGTGCATATTACGCAGTGAGGTGTGTGTGTGTGTGTGTGTTTTGTCTTGCCCTTTTTTGGTGAATTTGGGCGGCCACGATTTGAAGGAACACCCACCTGATGGAGCAAGTAAGATCGCTGCAAATCGCATCGGCATCTGCTTGAAAGTGGCACCCCTTTCCAAATCCTTCGGGGAGCCCCGAGATTTCCATCCGCAGCTGAGCAGAAGGCGTGTTGTTTGGGCCTTCTGCGTTTTGACACCCTCCCGCGAAAACAAGAGGTGTCTACCCTTGTAGGGGTTGCTTTATTTTCAAAGAACACAGACCTAGGGGTCCCATTCCATGAAGGATCCTGACACTCCCCCATCAAAATCAACCAGAGGGCTAGTCATCCTGGATCCCTTGTCCGCCGTATTTCGCGGTGACGTTCCTTGGGTCGCTTTAGTGGTCACAAGCTGCAATCCCACAGGCAAGATTATCGCGGACCGCGCCTTCAACATGCGGAGCTACGTGCGCGGCAGCGGGGGCGGGCCGCGCGCCTTTGAGTCGGTGGAGTGGGACCCACGGACACCAAACCTGTCCACGGCGCGGCACTGAGTCTGGTCTTGGTTCGGAACCCTGGGCTGGAAGGGTCCCTCATCTTGACATAGATGTGCGGAACCTGATTTATGGACCATACCCTCATAGCACCGCACCGCCGCCGGAGTAAACATATTTTCCGGGGTGCCCTTCCACACCTGAGATGTTTGTGAAGGTTCCCCGCCAAAATGACATGGACGCGCACTTGCTAGGGTCGCTGGGCAACCGGCCTGCTGTTTAGTCCCCGATCATCCTTGTGCTGAGTCTCTAGGGCCCCGGACGGTATTCGCTTTTGGGGCACAGATTCCGGGGCTAAAACAACAATAATAAGTTGCCATCTCAGGTCACCATCAAGCGTGATGGCGTTTCCATCAAGACTGAGACCCGCATCAAGAAGCGCACGGTCGGAGTGCCTGAAGGACCTTTCTGCGTGAATATGGCCATAGATGTAGGTCGCAATACACAACTCCCCATGTAAATGTTGCGAATGATGTCCATCAAAGAGTCAATGTCCATATTATGGGTTTTTGTTTTCAATATTTGGGGAATCGACTCCAAAATGACCGATGCGACCGATCAGGCCGCGACGACTTGTTCAACAGCAGCGAGGTCTTCTTGCAGGCCTTGGGCAGAGATCCGCGGTTTGGGAGGGCTTTTTGTGCGGGTTTTTGCACGTACTACATGGGGAACATCAGCCGGAAGCCGCCAAAAAAAGCAGTGTTCACGCCGTGTCTGTCTTGATGAACCGGGAAGTCTCCTCAACTCGACATGGAGCACCAAGGTTGGTTTGAGTCCGTTTGATTGGTGGCTTGAAGTTGTGGGGTTCTCCCCATCTCGTTCAGAAGGCAAAACGACACTGTATCTCCAAACCATCCAATCCACAATGCTTCCTGGGGTCTCTTCCATTGGCTTGTGATTGTTGTTTTGTTTGCCTCTTTGCTAGTGGTGACCGTTTTTCGGGGGTTACCCGCGGTAACATCTTTGCGGGGAATCCCCCATTCTCATTTGGCGACACCTTAGATATCTTTAACCCCAGCTCAGCATTCATGGGACAGGACAGCCGGGCTTCTTACAGATTCGGCGTTTGAAGACTTGATTTGAACGTAGCCTGAAGCTAGCCAAACAACTAGCAGGGACGAGGAAACACAGGCATGTGGGTGGTTGTCCTTTACCCTGCTTTATAGGGATTCCTCCTCAAGCACTGAACAACTTGCATCACATAAAGAGGCGTCCAAATGATTGGTGTTCCCTTTGAGCTCCCTATAAACCATCCATAACAAGGACCCCCTCAAACGAAAAGACCACACCTCAATCCTCGTTTCCCGGGTCCCGCTGGGTCGGGCGGACCCAGCGGGTGTCGCCAGGAGGTGTCCGGAGGTGGGGAGGACAAGGTGACACCGATACGCTGCGTGAACAAGCCACCTGCCGGCATCGCCCGGTCCAATGCACCCAACATCACCCAACGGGAAAACGAGATGTGGATGTGCCATGTTTGAGGGGATCCCAATTGGCTTCGGTCTTGCGTTTACCTGTGAATCTTCAAAAAGGGGGTACCCTCAAGAAAAGACAACCCCGTGCATACGTAGTATATATATATATATATATGATATGTAAACAATATGATAAGATACTGGTTAGATAGTTCTTATAGCTACATTGTCCCCGGTTTCAAACCCTAGACAGGCGTTAAGAGGCGCTCACCTGGAGAAGCATCCCAAGCAACTACAGGGGGGGGGGGGGGGTGTTTTTGAGGGGCCCGCCTCTTTTTCAAGTCGGTTTCACAGGGCAACCAAAGGAAAGCCGAAGCCATTTTGGGGGGGTCCCTAAAAAAGACACCCATGTAAGCTTTTTGCTGCGGCCAAGGTATGAATTCCGGCGCCTGAACCAGGGTCAGCCGCTCACCCCTGGAAAGAGGAAAACGCCTTTGTCTCCTTTCAAGGGAACATTGTCTCAGGAACTAGCTACTTAAACCTTGTTGAAACAAGTGATTGGCCCAACCTGCCTTGTGACGGGGGTCTCTTATTTTCAACGGCCTCTTTTTCAAACAGCACATTTACATACAGTTCGGTTGCGATGTTTCGGATCTGTCCAGGTTCAAGAAGAATGGTGATTCTGAGATTCTGGTGATACAGCGCTTGGTCGCCGGGCAGCAAGACATGGGCCACGGACTCAACCTCCCAAAAGGGCGCGGCAGTCTCAGTCCAAGGCCTCGGGGACCCATTTTTGTTGACTCCAAACCTGTTGTTTTGGCCCCAGCCAACTTGTATGGAGGTCAACAGGCAGGTCTGGGCTGGAACAAATCAAAGTGCTCGGTCCCCATAATTAGTGCAAACTATGGCGTCCAGGTTTTTCCTTGGAGATCCCTTTATTCAACTGGATTGGTATCACTTGTTCTCTACCAGCCAGACTTTTTTTGGGGTGGGTGGGTGTGTACATGTGTTTTGTTGGCCATGTTTGCGGGGTTGGTGATGTGTACAGGGGCCGTGTCGTTTGCGCCGTCGTTCCCGAGGAGATTTTCCCTCGCTTTGGCGGTGCCGATCCGGAGGCGTTTAATCTGGACAAGCCCTCTGTGATCTACAAGTACCGAGGCGCGAAGTGTTTCCAAAACAAATGTTTTTTTTCTTTCGTTGGACCCCCCGAAATTGGGGTTTTCCTCTCGGCTTCAGTTTAAGAACAAAACAGGAGTTCCAAAGATTTTCAGGGTGTCCTTTTTTTTGGGGACGCCCCCTTTTTTTTGTTGTTGTTGGTTTCCCTTTCAAGACCATACAAAAGGGGTACCCTCAAAAAACGACACGCCCATTTCAGGGAGCACTGGACAAGTCCCTGACCAAAAGTCTCGTCTCTGGATCAGGGCCCTGTTGGCTACAAATCCGATGATTTTCAGGGACTCACTTTTGCTAACCGGTAAACCAACAATATGTGGAGGTGTTGACTTTTGTGGGAAACACCCATTGCTGCAAGGTTTCGTGATCACTAGCGTATCGCCAAGGCCTCAACAGTCATCCTTTCAATCAGACTGTTAATCAAGGCCATTTGGGTGGAATTGAGGGAGGTAAATGGTTGCACACAGCAAGACCTCGCAGAGACAGGGATTCACCATGAAAGCAACAGAACTGTGCCAGACAAGGGAAGAACACCTGAACATGGTGTGCTCCTGCAGTGTCTGTGTTTTCCAACGATGAAATGAACTCTGCCGGGAAGAGAAGACCAGACGAGTCAAAGACCTACGAACCCGAAACAGGGCGTGTGCGCGTGTGCGCGTGTGCGCGAGTGCGCGAGTGCGCGAGTGTGCGTGCGTGCGTGCGTGCGTGCGTGCGTGCGTGCGTGCGTGCGTGCGTGCGTGCGTGCGTGCGTGCGTGCGTGCGTGTGTGCAAGCGTGCGTGCGTGCGTGCGTGCGTGCGTGCGTGCGTGCGTGCGTGCGTGCGTGCGTGCGTGCGTGGGTGGGTGGGTGGGTGGGTGGGTGGGTGGGTGGGTGGGAGTGTGTGTGTGTGTGTGTGTGTGTGTGTGTGTGTGTGTCTGTGTGTGTGTGTGTCTGCGTGTCTGTGTGTCTGTGTGTTTGTGTGTCTGTGTGTCTGTGTGTGTGTGTGTGTGTGTGTGTGGGTGTGCGTGTGCGTGTGCGTGCGGGTGCGGGTGCGGGTGCGGGTGCGGGTGTGTGTGCGTGAGTGTGCGTGCGTGCGTGCGTGTGCGTGCGTGCGTGCGTGCGTGGGTATGCGTGCGTGCGTGGGTATGCTTGCGTACGTGGGTATGCGTGGTTGCGTGTGTGTGCGTGTGTGTGTGTGTGTGTGTGTGTGTGTGTGTGTGTGTGTGTGTGTGTGTGTGTGGGTGTGTGAGTGTGGGCCCGCCAGCGTGCGTCGTGCTTGCGTGCGTGCGTTCG